TCCATACAGATGATACAGAGGTGTCCCTTACACCTAGTGCAGCACATACAGACAACAGTGACTAGAGTGTAAAGTGCCCCTTACACCTGGTCCAGCACATGCAGACAACAGTGACTACAGTGTGAAGTGCCCCTTACACCTGGTCCAGCACATGCAGACAACAGTGACTACAGTGTGAAGTGCCCCTTACACCTGGTCCAGCACATGCAGACAACAGTGACTACAGTGTGAAGTGCCCCTTACACCTGGTCCAGCAGATACAGACAACAGTGACTACAGTGTGAAGTGCCCCTTACACCTGGTCCAGCAGATACAGACAACAGTGACTACAGTGTGAAGTGCCCCTTACACCTGGTCCAGCAGATACAGACAACAGTGACTACAGTGTGAAGTGCCCCTTACACCTGGTCCAGCACATGCAGACAACAGTGACTACAGTGTGAAGTGCCCCTTACACCTGGTCCAGCAGATTCAGACAACAGTGACTACAGTGTGAAGTGCCCCTTACACCTGGTCCAGCAGATACAGACAACAGTGACTACAGTGTGAAGTGCCCCTTACACCTGGTCCAGCAGATACAGACAACAGTGACTACAGTGTGAAGTGCCCCTTACACCTGGTCCAGCACATGCAGACAACAGTGACTACAGTGTGAAGAGTCTACACACTCACAGTATTAAAAGCTGTGTGTCAAGAAGATAGAGTGGGTATATAGGGGAGTTCCCCTGGGTAGGCAACACCTAACGACGTACAGAGAGTTGTATTCAAATCCAGCTGGATATTGCTGTCGTCTTTGAACAATAAACTTCCTATTAAACCTAAGTTTTTCCCTGACTTAAACATTCCATAGACAATTTACGTAGTCGCTATGCATGATCAGGGCGGAAATCTTGGACTCTCCCACCCTGCTCTCCAGGACTCAATGTGAGCCAGTTGTAGTTCTGCACGTGACTTCTTGTTATTGCAGCCCATTGTAACCTGACAATACGGCATGAACACGGACTACAGCTTATTGTAACCCGATGATACGACACTGGTACGTGACACCCTGCACATGTAGCCGGGTGTAGCTCACGCTCCACGAGGTCTCGGTTTTCCCGGTACTGAGCAGGAACCACAACAATGAACGTGGCCCGTGTGCTGGCTCCAGTAGGAAGCTCTTGTCCTAAATCAAAGACTGACAACTCGTATAACCTTACAAGGGGGTGTATTGTAAGACAATTATGTCATTTGAAGCACACTGGACAAGACTTGCGATTAGAGCCAGAGAACAGTTTTTCCACGTAATCGCAAATAGAAAATGTGTATCCTCTGGGCCTCGTTTTTCAAAACAATTTTAGCTAACGTTAACTAGATTAGAATTAAGGTTATCTTAGTTTGAAATCACACCATTTGACAACGCAACCTCGACTTTGCTCTAATGTTGCCATCGTAAGGCTATATAACGTCGTCTGCTTCAACCATTATTAGATATATTGTAAAAATCACGAAATTTTAGAATGTTATTGCCTATTTCTCACATCTGTGAGTGTCGGTGTCACACAATCTTCGAAGTGAATTTCTAAACATAATCGGTTACATGAAACCGTCACATGGTAAATCAATATATCAAGTTAAAAGAGACACAATGATAATAGATAGATCTAGAGGATATATATTTTTTCTCCTCAAATGACTCTTTTATCTCGTTGATTGACCTGACAAGGTTGAAATGTCCTGACTTCCGGGACATCATGTGTCGACACAGACTGGACTTGACACGTGTGAAGGAAGGTGCTGTTGCAACAGATATGTCATCAAAGATTGTGATCTCTTCTTCAGAAATCACCGAGACCGGGATGCGTCCTCTGCTTCGCGTCTTAGTCGGCTAAGTTGACGGATCTGTTCCTCTGGCAATGGTCTAAAACTGATTACCCTTAACGACCAACACGCACTCCCACCCAAGACAATCAAAACACACACTCCCACCCTTGACAATCAACACACACACACGCACGAACACACACGAACACACACGAACACACACACACGAACACACACACACACACACACACACACACACACACACACACACACACACACACACACACACACACACACACACACACACACACACACACACACACACACACACACACACACACACACACACCGGACTATCAACACGCACACTCTCACCCCAGACTATCAACAACACACTCCCCCCCGATTCGACCAACACACACTACCATCCTGGACGAACAACACACACACTACCACCCTGGAAAACCAACACACACACTACCACCCACCGGACACCCAACACACACACTACCACCCTGGACAACCAACACACACACTACCACGCTGGATACCCAACACACACACTACCACCCTGGACAACCAACACATACACTACCACGCTGGAAAACCAACACACACACTACCACCCTGGACAACCAACACACACACTACCACCCACCGGACAACCAACACACACACTACAAGCCTGGACGACCAACACACACACACTGCCAACCTGGACAGCCAACACACACACTACCACGCTGGACGACCAGCACACACAATACAAGCCTGGACGACCAGCACACACACACTGCCACCCTGGACAGCCAACACACACACTACCACACACCGGACAACCAACACACACACTACAAGCCTGGACGACCAGCACACATACAAGCCTGGACGACCAGCACACACACACTGCCACCCTGGACAACCAACACACACACTACCACCCTGGAGAGCCAACACACACACTACAAGCTGGACGACCAACACACACACTACCACCCTGGTGCTGTTGCAACAGATATGTCATCAAAGATTGTGATCTCTTCTTCAGAAATCACCGAGACCGGGATGCGTCCTCTGCTTCGCGTCTTAGTCGGCTAAGTTGACGGATCTGTTCCTCTGGCAATGGTCTGAAACTGATTACCCTTAACGACCAACACGCACTCCCACCCAAGACGATCAAAACACACACTCCCACCCTTGACAATCAACACACACACACACACACACACACACACACACACACACACACACACACACACACACACACACACACACACACACACACACACACACACACACACACACACACACACACACACACACACACACACACACACACACACACACACACACACACACACCGGACTATCAACACGCACACTCTCACCCCAGACTATCAACAACACACTCCCCCCCGATTCGACCAACACACACTACCATCCTGGACGAACAACACACACACTACCACCCTGGAAACCAACACACACACTACCACCCACCGGACACCCAACACACACACTACCACCCTTGACAACCAACACACACACTACCACGCTGGATACCCAACACACACACTACCACCCTGGACAACCAACACACACACTACCACGCTGGACAACCAACACACACACTACCACCCTGGACAACCAACACACACACTACCACCCACCGGACACCCAACACACACACTACCACCCTGGACAACCAACACACACACTACCACCCTGGACAACCAACACACACACTACCACGCTGGACAACCAACACACACACTACCACACTGGACAACCAACACACACACTACCACCCTGGACAGCCAACACACACACTACCACCCACCGGACAACCAACACACACACTACCACCCTGGACAACCAACACATACTACCACCCTGGACAACCAACACACACACTACCACCCACCGGACAACCAACACACACACTACAAGCCTGGACGACCAACACACACACACTGCCAACCTGGACAGCCAACACACACACTACCACGCTGGACGACCAGCACACACACTACAAGCCTGGACGACCAGCAAACACACACTGCCACCCTGGACAGCCAACACACACACTACCACACACCGGACAACCAACACACACACTACAAGCCTGGACGACCAGCACACATACAAGCCTGGACGACCAGCACACACACACTGCCACCCTGGACAACCAACACACACACTACCACCCTGGAGAGCCAACACACACACTACAAGCTGGACGACCAACACACACACTACCACCCTGGACAGCCAACACACACACTACCATCCACCGGACAACCAACACACACACACTACCACCCTGGACAACCAACACACACACTACCACCCTGGACAGCCAACACACACACTACAAGGTGGACGACCAACACACACACTACCACGCTGGACAGCCAACACACACACCACCACCCACCGGACAACCAACACACACACACACTACCACCCTGGACAACCAACACACACACTACAAGCCTGGACAACCAACACACACACTACAAGCCTGGACAACCAACACACACACTGCCACCCTGGACAACCAACACACACACTACCACCCTGGACAACCAACACACCTACTACAATCCTGGACAACCAACACACACACTACAAGCCTGGACAACCAACACACACACTACCACCCTGGACAACCAACACACACACTACCACCCTGGACAACCAACACACCTACTACAATCCTGGACAACCAACACAAACTACCACCCTGCACGACCACGCTGGACAACAAACAATCACACTACCACCCTGGACCACACACACACACACACACACACACACACACACACACACACGAACACGTAACCACCCTGGACAACCAACACACACTACCATCCTGGACAACAAATAATCACACAACCACCCTGGACGAACAACACACACACACACACACGTACCCCTACCCTTGACTACACACGCCATATACGTCTGATGCACGGTGAGCTGCATTTCCTGTGTTTCGTTTACAAGTATCACCCTAGGATCAATGCGACTATGCCGTAATTTGCACGGGTAAATTGTAGAACGTGTTTTGCAAGGCATCCTTATGCACAACCTACATTATTTGTACTATATTCTTATATCTGTATTACAGGCGACAGCCTAGGTGAAAGTGACAATGTATATAAATAGATGCAGACAGCATACATAAATGTAGGTCCCCGATTGGCTGGCGATACAGGTGGGGGCCCCAGGTAGACAACCGACAGTGGCGGGCAGGTAGCATGATATACCTCGCATGCAATCTCAGTCACAAACAGCAACAGCCGCAGCCGCAGCCGCAGCCACAGCCACAGGTAAGTGAGATATACCTGGCAGGTGACAACGGCGTCACTGTCACCAGGGCACACGTTCACACATGGGAATATAACGCTGTAATTAAAGGTTGTACGTGAGAGTTACGTACCATCGCCAAGTTGTACCGATCATTTAGGGAGAAAGTAGTTATATTTGCAACATTTTGTATGACATTGTTTCAGTGATGTAGAACCTGACAGTTACAGTGCTAGTCGAGAGGGGGCTAGGTGTTGAACAGGTGTGGGTAAATAGCAGACGCACTGTAGCAATAACTCTAACATTACAATGATTGGGTTTGAACACAATTATCTGGAAGCTTTGAGTATTCAAACTGCTTCATGTTCAGAACGCCACTGTTCACACTCCTACAAGATGCCTCATCTCGCCAGGCTGGTAGAGTCCCCTGGGTTTCAAGCCAGTAGTAGTAGTGATAGCAGTAATAGTGGTAGTAGTAGTAGTAGTAGTAGTAGTAGTAGTAGTAGTAGTAGTAGTAGTAGTAGTAGTAGTAGTAGTAGCAGCAGCAGCAGCAGCAGTAGAAGTTGTTGTTGTTGTGGTAGTGGAATTGGCAGTGGTAGTATTTGTAGTGGTAAAAAAACTTATCGTAAATTAACCTGGCAAACATCGCCTTGTTCTTTTCCTGACCGTATGAATGCTTGTGGCATTACGAACAACTGTATGGTGTTAATGTACAATACCAGAAGTAGTTAGTAATGTACATGGTACAAACGAAAGAGATACTTAAAACAATGGACTCATTTGGAGCTTACAGTTAAAACGTTAGGGAGATTTCCAACAATAATGGACGGTAGAATTTTAACTTTAAACATATGCTGGTATTTCACCTATAAACATAAATTGAAGTACAATGGAAAGTACACAGCTGCTAGCATTATTTCCAAAATGTATGGAGGTAACTATGCTTTCCTACGTTTTGTATGACGTTTGTGACAATGTATGTAAAGCATATACAGTATAAAAATCCCCCCGCTGAGTTTGTCAGCATTCAGAATCCAACACAAGGAAAATCTCAAAATTCCAAGATTGTCAGCAGCGGAGGGAGAGCGAACGTTCAAAGACGTTCTTTCCTAAAACGACGGTGATATCAAGGTGGATATCTGTGGAGACAACTCAGACGTCCACCACAACAGCCAGCCAAGATCCAGCAGCCATCTGTAGAGACAACTCAGACGTCCACCACAACAGCCAGCCAAGATCCAGCAGCCATCTGTAGAGACAACTCAGACGTCCACCACAACAGCCAGCCAAGGTCCAGCAGCCATCTGTGGAGACAACTCAGACGTCCACCACAACAGCCAGCCAAGATCCAGCAGCCATCTGTGGAGACAACTCAGACGTCCACCACAACAGCCAGCCAAGATCCAGCAGACATCTGTGGAGACAACTCAGACGTCCACCACAACAGCCAGCCAAGATCCAGCAGCCATCTGTAGAGACAACTCAGACGTCCACCACAACAGCCAGCCAAGGTCCAGCAGCCATCTGTAGAGACAACTCAGACGTCCACCACAACAGCCAGCCAAGATCCAGCAGCCATCTGTAGAGACAACTCAGACGTCCACCACAACAGCCAGCCAAGATCCAGCAGACATCTGTGGAGACAACTCAGACGTCCACCACAACAGCCAGCCAAGATCCAGCAGCCATCTGTAGAGACAACTCAGACGTCCACCACAACAGCCAGCCAAGATCCAGCAGCCATCTGTAGAGACAACTCAGACGTCCACCACAACAGCCAGCCAAGGTCCAGCAGCCATCTGTGGAGACAACTCAGACGTCCACCACAACAGCCAGCCAAGATCCAGCAGACATCTGTGGAGACAACTCAGACGTCCACCACAACAGCCAGCCAAGATCCAGCAGACATCTGTGGAGACAACTCAGACGTCCACCACAACAGCCAGCCAAGATCCAGCAGCCATCTGTGGAGACAACTCAGACGTCCACCACAACAGCCAGCCAAGATCCAGCAGACATCTGTAGAGACAACTCAGACGTCCACCACAACAGCCAGCCAAGGTCCAGCAGCCATCTGTAGAGACAACTCAGACGTCCACCACAACAGCCAGCCAAGATCCAGCAGACATCTGTGGAGACAACTCAGACGTCCACCACAACAGCCAGCCAAGGTCCAGCAGCCATCTGTGGAGACAACTCAGACGTCCACCACAACAGCCAGCCAAGGTCCAGCAGCCATCTGTGGAGACAACTCAGACGTCCACCACAACAGCCAGCCAAGGTCCAGCAGCCATCTGTGGAGACAACTCAGACGTCCACCACAACAGCCAGCCAAGGTCCAGCAGCCATCTGTGGAGACAACTCAGACGTCCACCACAACAGCCAGCCAAGGTCCAGCAGCTATCTGTGGAGACAACTCAGACGTCCACCACAACAGCCAGCCAAGGTCCAGCAGCTATCTGTGGAGACAACTCAGACGTCCACCACAACAGCCAGCCAAGATCCAGCAGCTATCAATGCCAGCTGAGATCATTCCAGATAATGGGTGTGCTGCAATCGATTGTTTTAATGAGCTGTTGACTCCGGAGACAGTACCGTGTTCCTGTTTCAGTGTAAATCTGTTTTCATACCCTATGTGTGTGCGATTGCTGCTCACTCTTGTCACACAAAAGCCTCAGGAATCGTTGTCGTCCGAATCGATGTAAAAGGTCCGGCATTAATACGTCCACTGATATATACTGAAGGCGTGTATATTTTTATACTTCAGTTCAACATGAGCTGTCCTTCAACTTTAAACATATGTTGGAATGTTAACCATAAACATATGTTGTTATTTTAAAACTACTATAAACATGCTATATGCGTACCTACAATATATGGGGACATAACTAAAAGATATGTACACAGAAATAAGTGTATTACACGAACTATGGAAGGCATATGTAGGCGAATGTTCAATGATAGTAAATGTTATACCACACACACATAAGCAAATGCTGATACACGACATCACACCTCCAGAAAGTGTCGGTAAGGTGCTTGTGTCCAGATACTTGTAAGCAGAACAGTAGTTCACCTGCGTAGGTAATAACCTAAATAACCACTGCCCTGATTGTAAGGAGATATGTTTATCAATACTCTCATGTACATTAACACTGTCAATATTGTGATGATGTCAGTCTCTGGGTTACCTATACCCAAGCTATCTGACCTACTAGACTTTCAGCCCGCTGCAGATAAACACACTGACACACTGACTGAACTCTATCTCTGCCATGTGGTACTTAGGCATAGATAAGGAAGATATACATTGTACCAGGCATAACAATACACCAGGCCTAACGCTAACTCACATACACACTACACCAGACCTACCACTAACTCACTGACACACTACACCAGACCTACCACTAACTCACTGACACACTACACCAGACCTACCACTAACTCACAAACACACTACACCAGGCCTACCACTAACTCACATAGACTCTACACCAGGCCTACCACTAACTCACATACACACTACACCAGACCTACCACTAACTCACATACACACTACACCAGACCTACCACTAACTCACATACACACTACACCAGACCAACCACAAACTCACATATACACTACACCAGACCTACCACTAACTCACATACACACTACACCAGACCTACCACTAACTCACATACACACTACACCAGACCTACCACTAACTCACATACACACTACACCAGACCTACCACTAACTCACATACACACTACACCTGGATCTGAGCAGGACTTCTGAGCCCCCTGTTATACAGTAACTTCAGTAAATAGACTGTAGTGTCCCATCATAAAGAAATCCTTTCATGCGTCACGGAGTTTAAAAGAGTAATTGAGTACGCAACAAATAACTAAACAGGTTGTGGTAAAACCCGACCTGGTCCCATCACGCACGCTCCACTTGTATGGAGTGTTTCGGAGATATGATGTCATTTCTCGGAAACTATATTGGTAGCTGATAACGACTGAGCCCCTTAACGTTCAAATACGACCAAAATAATTACGGATCGACAAACAGTCTTATTTCATGTAATCGGTCCAAATGTTCATAATAAGGCTATGATATTTAAATGATATTAAACATAGTGTTAGTGATATTGTAATAGAGATGAGTTTGAATGTCAAGGCTTCCCATGTGGTGGATGTCAGCGGAGAGATCAAAGTTCGATATCACTCTCTAGTGTCATGTAGCAGCACTCAACACGAGACACAGCGTTACCCACCACTGAAGGTCAAAGACAATGTCAGCAGTAGGTACTAATACACCTGAAGTGTGACTACAATTTCTTCCAATTCATGTCTATAACAAAGAGGTCATCCCAGATTCTCAACTTGTTACATTCTATTATAACTCTATGTTTGTATAAATAATTTATGTGAGTCCGTCATTGTTAATCGTACCACCATGTTAGGGTTCAGATGTGATAAGATATATGTGTCTTATATCTACCTACTGACGTAATAAAGCACGGCTATCTATATAGGACATCAGTCGTCTGAACAATGCATGTTTCAGGTTTGTTAGCGTTATAGAAACGTATCTTAAAGCAGCGTAGCTCTGTAGGTAACGGAATACCTCTGTATGAACAACGTATATCCTTATGCCCAGAATAGCTCTGCCGGTAAACACGGGACATGGTATACCAGGAAGATTTCTTTTCTTCTGCAGATGAACCTAAAGGATTTCTTTGAATCATAAAAATCCCCACAATCATGAACGGAAAACCTCAACGTCTGAGTAGACTCGTTCGTGACACCAGCATTTCCTCCGACACGTCGACAGCATCAGACATGTCAACGTTTTCTACAACCGACTCTGAAGCCCCACTGGTCAGCAGCGGTGATGGTGCCTGTCAGAAGCCCCACAACACCCGGAACAGGGGACTGGCCCTAGCAGTTGGCCTGTGTATGTGTGTGAGTGTGGGGTCCCTCTGTGTGAGCCTGCTATTGTACACGGGGGTACTGCAGCCCAACACCCACCCCACAGCACCCCACCAGGTCGTGTGTCTCCCCTGTATGGACATTGTGACCACGCCCTTCCCTGAACAGGATGACAACATTCACCTCTTGGACAGACACTTCGAGAACAGGACGATGATCTGTTGTGCCAAAACACCCAGGCAGTTTTCAATACTGTTTGATAAGGTGGGTTGTTAGATGTGAATCTTAACTCGTCTCCATGTTGCTGAAACAAGGTCATCAAACAGTCTAAGAAAGCTGTAACTCTTTAAAGATAGTTAAATATGATAAGGATTGAGAAAGCACAAGATACAAGGCTGCTACCTGTGTAGACAATTACATCAATAGCATGTGTGTTGTGTTTGCAGCTGCTCGAGCGCAAGATGAAGAAGAAAGAGGTCATAGGTAAGTTGAGCAGTGAAAGTCATGTCACTGGTAAATATTTATTATCCTATTGATATATTAAATATCAGCTTTGTTCTAGCGGGATTGATAGTTAAAAACGTATTGTTGCCATAAGAGCAATTGTAATGCTCGACTAGTTACTTACTATCCTGTTTACCCAATAAAGACACACTAGTCATTTCACTTTGTATTCGCCAGCGGCCCGTCGGGAGGAATCCAGAAACCAGGCAGCGGGCCCGAAGTCAGCTGACACAGTGGGCGCCCATCTGCTGGCTGGCCTCCAGAAGACAGGTTGGTGGCCACCCTTACCATATAACTAACAGTTACTGCAGTTGAATTAAGACAGAAAACAAGTGATAACAGAAATATCTCACTATATATAGGTAACACCATGCTCCCAGCAGACACGACGTGAAACAATCCTCATCATTCTTCCTTGTAGTGTCCACAGAGACCCAGGTGCGGTCATGGCTGGCCGACCGCCCTCTCTCCTTCATGCACGGCCTCCATCTCCACGCCGACCGCCTCGTGGTGGAACACAGCGGACTGTACCTCGTCTACAGCCAGGTCTACTTCAAGGTCAATATGGACGATCCCTCCATCCAGTCCCATCCCCCGAGTCTGCTGGGCCATCTCGTCCACCGCTACAGCGTCACCATCCCTAATGGGGGTCGGGAGGACTTGCTGCAAGCGGCACACTCGTGCTGCGGGGACGACGGTGACAGCCTCTTCCTCCACACCAGCCACGTAATGGGCGTGTTCCAGCTGAGCAGCAGGGACGAGATCTACGTGACCGTGTCCCACCCAGGACTCATCTACCGCGACCCAACACGTAGTTTTCTGGGTGTGTTCAAGTTGAACTGATACCTAGGTGCATCAACCTGGGTACACGCCAGAAGCAGGTATCAGCACCATGTACACAGATCAGCATGATGTAGAGGGCCATATGGAATGTTCACACGGCACTGATGTCACGGTGTTTAATCTCTGTGTAGAGGTGTGGACATCCGCAGATCCCCGCTCTATAGTGCAATTACCTTCCATGATTACGGCTACCCAGAACATTTACTGACGCCTGGACGCCGCTGTGTAAGTAGCCTGCTCTGGGTAACACACTTACCATTGTGCCAAAACGAAGACACTTGTTCGGAGCTTAAAGCCTTAAACGACTCCCATTCGAGTGTGCCAAAACCTTATGCCACTAGTTCGGGCCCTGCTCTTTGTACACACTGTACGGGGATGCGCTAGCAGCTTGACAGACAGGATGTGGAGTGTGGTAGCCATTATTGATACAGACACCTCTGGATACAACGAAACAGGACATGCAACAATGGCCGACAGGGAGGCCACGAAGCGAATGCTACTCTGCAAGGAGGATAGGCATAAAGAATTCCTGTAAGACCTCGTCTTGTTCGTAATGTCCGCTCATAGCCAGACTATCGGTGTGCTGGCATGGGAAGTTACATTTACCAGTGTGACGCTAAGTGGCAATATCGAAGCTCAGTGCTGTGATACTATTCAAAACCATATGTTATAAAAGACACACACGCACGTACGCACGTACGCACGTACGCACGCACGCACGCACACATACATACATACAGGCACAAAGACACACAGAAGGATTCACAGGCACACAGACAGGCACAAAGACACACAGACAGATACACAGACTCACAGACAGGCACAAAGACACACAGACAGATACACAGACGCACAGACAGGCACAAAGACACACAGACAGATACGCAGACTCACAGACAGGCACAAAGACACACAGACAGATACACAGACTCACAAACAGGCACAAAGACACACAGACAGATACGCAGACTCACAGACAGGCACAAAGACACACAGACAGATACGCAGACTCACAGACAGGCACAAAGACACACAGACAGATACGCAGACTCACAGACAGGCACAAAGACACACAGACAGATACACAGACGCACAGACAGGCACAAAGACACAGACAGATACACAGACGCACAGACAGATACACAGACACACAGACAGATTCACAGACTCACAGACAGGCACAAAGACAAACAGACAGATTCACAGACTCACAGACAGGCACAAAGACACACAGACAGATTCACAGACTCACAGACAGGCACAAAGACACACAGACAGATAAACAGACTCACAGACAGGCACAAAGACACACAGACAGATTCACAGACTCACAGACAGGTGGGGAGAACGATCTCAGTTGTTGATATGCAAGTGTATGATTGCATTATGTAAATACTTACTGTTCTATTTTGGTTTTGGTTCATGTATATAAATATGATACAATATTCAATTTTCTATTATTCATTCAATTTACATTCTCAATAATGCCAGCTTGCCGTCTAAAATGGTGTATGATTGTTGCCACTGCCACAACTTGAGTTCTATGTATACGGCACACAATGGAACGCACTTTTACATATACTACCGATAATACCTTTAAATCCAAAACTGTGGCGCCCCAGTCCCACTAGTCCCAAGGTGTAAATTGTAGGGCTAACGTCTGGGCGTGCTTCCATGTACCATATACCAAGTGTGCAGGGCTACATGCTCCCAGGACATCCATCACCCAGGCCAAGCGAAGAAAAATCATTTTGTTTGTTTGTTTGTTTATTGTTTAACCTCGATCTACACAATTGAGATAGGATGACATGCATCAACCATGTCGGCGACAGTTGACAAAACTAGCAACACAACAACACAATCAGAGTGAATCTGTACCGCGGGCTGCTAGCACGGCGAAGGCAATGGCGTAGCTACCACGTAGCACCAAAGCAAGTGCTTACGCTTTGAAATCGTTCCAAAAATAAAATGGATTTTTTCTTTTAAGTGTGTTCTTTCAGTCGCTTGTTATAATTACATGATCTATTGTTCCTTTACAGGCTGACCAACTGCCAGTGTTAAAAGTGTCGTTCCATGTTGTTGTTTGCTTGTTACATTTCCTTTACAATTTTCGCGAACACCTGCTGTCATCACGGATTTTTAATGGTTCATTCATATAATGTTCACAGCTAGTTTGCCCTTTACGCCAAATGAAGTCTGTTTCGTTGGATACTCTACACTGGTAATATTGTCTTACATTGACAATATATATTTTATGAAGATGCCTGTGCTTGATCACAATAACCAAAATGTTTTCTTCTTAAACTGTAGCCCAATGTACAGAACGTGGTAAGGATATTTCGTGATATCTCTGTTTTAGATGTGCCTGCTTGTGGTTGTGTTTCATAAGCGTTATGAGTGTTTAAGAAAGATAAATATGATTGCTTACATTTTAATTTCCTTGTCAGGGAAACAACTTTACCCAGCGAATTGCGGCGTCATTGACGTCCGACTCGTCCCCCTCCCCGTGTCCCGCGATACCCCTGCGTGTCTTGTGTACAGTTGATGATGTACATGTAGATGTGCTCTGATTGCTGCATCTCCACAACCAGGAAGATGAACAGGGCGAGCTTTAATAATAGCATTGACTTGCGGTACATCTGAGGTGCGTCAGGGGAGCCAATGCTATGTGAGTCAGTGTCTGTAAGTAACTATATTCAATGTGACTAGTAGTGCGCAACGTCACCATAGACTTACAAAGAAGAAAGAGCGCTATGTCTGGAGTCATATACAGGTTTGAACCAATCCTGTGCCTCCCTGGGTGCCTCACATAGCCTCAGCCTGGACTGGTGCTGAGTCTCCACTGCAACTTCTTTCGGTGCTGTTGGTCCCTTCATGCTCTAATAAATGTACGACATGCTCGGTATCAGTGAATACCGAAATGCGGCAATAGACAGAACGTATTAGCAAATAATTTCTCTGGACTTAGTCTTGTATTGCATGCTTGGCTGTGTAAAGCTTGACCATCTCAGCATCTTTTGCCACAATGTATGGCTAATGGTGTTCCGATGCTGAGGTTTAAGGTCGATATCTTGACACAATCCCCCACATGTCATACATCGCATGTTGTTGGACTCCCCGCTCCAGGACACCGTATACATTACATCAAGGGGCATTTTATATATACATGAGTGAATAAATGTCATTTATCACCGCTTTTAACTATATTTCAGATATATCAAAACCTGGCCAGCTTAACTGTTTGCTGATCAAGCCCCAAGTGGCACAGGTTCTTACACAAAACGTGCTCCCAGAACTAAGTACGACAGATCACATAGTAATGTCATGAAGCGTCTGCGCATTCACTAACATTTATGAAACAAATCTTGTTACATGTTCGTAAATGTGAATACCACTTGCAATTGGCGGGGATATCTTTCTGCATGGGGGTTCGGTAATGACCACCAGACATGCCGGCCATTACATCCTGTACTCCTCGAAAAACCGATCGAAAATCTTGTTCTCTTGACTTCCCAGAATCGCTGTTATATAAATAATAACTCTCCACTCGTCATTCATTATGAAACTGAGAGGTCATGTCCCCGACCCTCAGTGTAGGGAAATATTGACAGAGCAAACACAACTGTTACATTTTCCGTTGTAGAATTCGTTTCATAATGAGTCAGTATATGGGGATTTAACGCAACACCAGGGGATCATGACGCTGTAACCCAGAGAACCAGGTACACGTCCAACATTTCATGAAACTATCCATACATTGCCTGTTCCCATATCCATCGATAAAGCGATAAAGTTCAGATATCCATCGATAAAGCGATAGTTTCCAAGGAACGAATAGAGAGAATATATTACTTCACCCTAATAATTTCGAACGTATTAACATCCAGTGACATCAAACATTGTCCTGTCATTATCTTTATATCTGATATAATCCCAACTTGTGGAATATATAACCCCCCGACTCCACAAAAAAATACCGTTGATTTTATAATTTTATTTTATACAACCTTCATATCTACAGTGAGTGAATCACAAGGCCACAGAGGCGCTGATAAGTCACAATGGCTTTAAGAATCCATTTTTCAAATACATGTGTACTCCTGCAAGAGGTATTTTACGTCCGTTTCATTGTGTTCATGAAGTGTGTTTAAAACGGAATTGTTGAAAAAGGTTGCTTCAGAAAAAGAAAAACACTTCCTTTCGCTTGTTTATGAGACTTAAAACCCTCCGATGAGTGATTATCCCCCTTATCCTACACATACAGTATACACGTACACAATTCAAAACCATTGGAGGAAATAGCCTCATGACAGAACGGACTCAAAACTCGAAAGTCAAAATAGCTTAATAAAGTAAAAATGGCCAAAAATCCATAGTCAAAACGGCCAGACAAAGAAGACATAAGGGGCGGGACATTTTGAGGGGGCGGCTGGGTTTTCCGGTACAGTCATGTTTTTCTTCTTCATTTTGGGGGGAGGGCTGAGGTTTGTTTTTCTTCTTCATTTGGGGGAGGGCTGAGATTTGTGTTTCTTCTGCACAGAGAGCTGAGGTTATTTTACGGCATAATTCAAATTCAACTTATGGAAAGAATGTTAATAAATTCTTACTGTTTACTTAAACATAATAACTGTACAGATGTAAGTGATTTTGAAACCGAACAATGAAAATAGCAGTATAATAAAGCATTTTATAAAAAAAAAGACCATTTCTTACAACACCACGTGTAGCAAAACCCAGTCGACTTGACATGTTTGCACTCACATCTACTGGAGAAATGTACTTTGCACTTACAAAGATTAGGGATGATGTACATTAGTAGCATAACTTTTTATGTAAACTGACGAAAAAAAAGAAACGTTACTAAATAGTGTTACAACATGGTTGAGAATCAATCGCCCAAACACAACCACAACAGTCTGCTGTGTAATGCACGTGCTACAGTACCCAGATCAGTGGAACTTGCGTTTGAAGTGAAACCTTTTGCTGCACTTGCAGCATGCCAGACTACAAAGAAATGGATATAAAAGGAACGATGTACTGTTAATACACACCCAAACCGTTGGACAGTGCCACATGACATGCTAAGATTAATGGTACTGAAAGAACAAGTCACTGGTATGATACATCAAGAATGACCACGTTGCAAGGAGATTTGGCTGTAGCCGAATGCCAGCCACCGGGCTGCTTTATCCTCGACGTCTTTGTGAGGTGGCAGCCTTGGCCGACCCAACGACTAGCCATGCACCATGACAATATCCCTGAACGTCGTTGAGCTTTTGTCCCCAAAAGCATTTTTAAAATATTGAAAGTCCAAGGACAAAGTAAAATGCATTTCTCCAATCACAAAGACCAGTTTTTGCCTCAGACTGATCAGAATAAGGACAAACTCACCTACATCATCACAAAATAGAAAACGGTGGCATCATCCCCATCAGACGTCGACACCCATTCTATAGGCAAAACGCACCTATTAGAAAAGAATGTTCCAGACAGGTGCAAGAAATGCTTGAAGCCAATAACATGAAGGCACACTCCCATTGTCATGGTTAAAAAACGCGATAGCTTTTACGGCCTCAATGCAGTTACCAAACATATATTTTCCCCCTACCACCTCTGCCAATATTTGTAGTGTGCTTGATTGTGCTAGTGTTTTTTGGCAAATACCGCTCAAAACACAAGTCGGCCTAGAGAGAGAGAGAGAGAGAGAGAGAGAGAGAGAGAGAGAGAGAGAGAGAGAGAGAGAGAGATGACATATATAGATGATATATATACGAGGGGTGTTCATTAAAGATTTCCCCTGACCCACTTCCGATGGACCTAGTGGAATGAAACTTGGCATAGGTATTAGTCTTTCTCCACATAGGAACCACCAAGAGTTAAACACTTCTCCCATCGTTTTATGCAACTATGGAGACCTCGTTGTAAAAGCCCTGATTTTGCGTCTCAAACCAGGACTTGACTTCAGAAATCAGTGTTTCATCATCTGTGAAACGTTTTCCCTTCAAAAATGACTTCATGGTTGGAAAGAGGTGGAAGTCAGATGGTGCAAGGTCAGGAGAGTAAGGAGGATGTGGAAGGATTTCATAGCAACAGGACCGCGCTTCTGTCTGGGCAACATGAGAATTGTGTACTGGAGCATTGTCTTGCAGGAGACGGACACCCTTGGTCAGCATGCCACGCCTCTTAAGCTTGATAGCGTCCCGCAATTTCCGCAGCAGTGAAGCATAATAAGCTCCTGTAATTGTGGTACCCTTTGCCAAGAAATCCATCATCACTACTCCGTGCTGGTCCCAAAATACCGTGAGCATGACCTTGCCTGCAGAGGGTTGGACACGTGCCTTCTTTTGAGGTGGTGACTCCACATGCTTCCATTGCATCGACTGAACTTTAGTCTCAGGATCATAGTGATGGACCCATGTTTCATCTTGTCTGATAAGTCTGTCAAAAAAGTTTGCCTGGTTTTTTTGGCACATGTCCAAAAGATCCTTTGAGCAATTGACTCGTTCCTGCTTTTGGAAAGGTGTGAGCAGCCTGGGAATCCATCGTGCAGACACCTTATGCATGTTCAAATTGTCATGGATGATTATTTCCACAGACCCTACACTAATCTTGACATCTTGTGCTAACTGGCGAACAGTCTCCACTTGATGGATAGTGTCCTCATCAATGGCTGAATGGGGGCGGCCAGGAATGGCAGCTGTTTCCACAGATGTCCGACCACACTTGAACTGGCGATGCCAGTGTTTAACAACGTCATATGATGGGGCATCTTCCCCATAAGTTGCTTTCATTTCATCGAAAGTTTCTTTTGGTGTGCGACCTTTCAAATATAAAAACCTTATCACTGCTCGGTATTCTACTGGCTCCATTGTCACACCCTACTCGATCATAACACCTGTAAAAGTGGTAAGATTAATAGTTCGGTGCTGCAAATCCAGACATAACCCATAGATACATGTATCATTACACATGTGAAATTTCAACCAAATATAACCCTAAGTGGTTTAGGGGAAATCTTCAATGAACACCCCTCGTAGATGACAATATGTTCTACGTTTTTGGAACATTTGAATCACCTCATATATATATATATATATATATAGAGAGAGAGAGAGAGAGAGAGAGAGAGAGAGAGAGAGAGAGAGAGAGAGAGAGAGAGAGATGACATATATAGATGATATATATAGATGACATAATATTTTCTAAAACGTTTTTGGAACATTTGAATCACCTCAAGGCAGTATTCCAAAATATCAAAGAAGAAGGAGGCACTCTAAAACCAAGCGATTGTAAATTTGCGACAAAACAAGTCACCTATACTTTGGGCATATCGTCAGCAAAGATGGCAACCATCCATCCATGACGTGTGTCATTTCTTAGATTTGGACTCGTATTATCACAAATTTGTAGCAAACCTTTCTGGCATCTCCTCTATACAACCTTCTGGAAAAAGAGGCGCCTTCCGAATGGTCCAATTGCCAACAGGCATTCGAAAAGCTCAAGCAAGCCCTTACAACAGCCAACATCCTTGTATGTCCCAACCAAAACAAACCCTTCATCCTCACAACTGATGCATCTCAAAATGCAATTGGGTACATTTTAGGCCAACTTGATTCTCATGGAGTAACTTGGAATGATGTAAGTTGTTAATTCATGTCTTTTGACCATACAAGAATCTTCCTGTTCTACTTTTAGAAACAAACAATGTTGATTGGTAAGTTTCTTTTGCTCGTCAATTTCCAAGTAAGGGTAAATGATGCTTGATAGTCATTTCCCATCACAGTCAACAACTGTTATGGCCTCTTGAAATGGAAGATTTGAAATGATAATTAATAGATAAGTGTTACAGGCATACTGTCTCTCATGGTCATGTCTCTCTGTCAAAGATTATGGCTTTGCTCACAAAATATTTTGTATTGATGAGGATGGCCATATTGTGGTGTTAATTTTTTTTCAATATAATAAATGTAAAAGATAAATGTCACACAAAATGTGATACTCTACCACTAGATGACAGAAGCGGTCCCCAGCAGAGAATGCAGATAGGTCTCAAGAATCAACAACACAACATGTCTGTCATCTGAATACTTTATTGTCATATGCATACGAAAATATATTTTAGGCATATTGCAAAAATTGTACTGCAAAAAGGACAGCCATGTGAAAAATTAATATTACAAAAGTAAACATGTGAATATGAGTAAAAACGAATCTGCATGATATAGTGCACATGACAGTACCATAATATACACAAACATGTTTATAAGTTACAAGGGGATAAGAGTCACTCATATGGTCAATATTGAATTATACAAAAATACATTTTGAATGTATATGTTATTACATTGGTGTTAGTTCATTTTTCAAATTTGAAAACTAAGATCTACTGCATACATACTTATATAGATATATTAAATCATCTGTATACTGTATATCTACTGAAGGTACGATGATCCAGCACTAGCTATGCCATGACATACAGTCTGTCAGGGCACTTGACAGAGGAAGGTGGTGTAATGTCAAGGTGACCTGTCAGGGAGACCCAAGTATTGGTTGTCAAAGTTGGGTGGGTGTCCCTGCCAGGGATAATACAATGAAGGACTATACGCTAGATTGGGAACAGGCCAAGTATCCACAGTCAAGTACCTTATCTAAATCTATCTGCCACTACCTTGTGCAATACAGTCTATACTTTATACACAACCCGGAGGTTCATTTCGGGACCACTACTTATGAGACCAGTACTGTTGCGGAGTAAATACAGTGTGTATTATGTGCCAGTGAGACGGAATGCTATAAGCTGCTGCTTCTACACAAGGTGTGTCCCCTCTACCATCACCCGCTCAACTCATCATGCCCTATATAGCTAGTACCTACTTTCAGCAAAGGTAGCCCCTAAGCTAATCCATCCTATTTGTCTCAACAGCATCGTCCCGTTACAGTTGGCAATTTTCATATGCTTTTGAAGCAAATCATACAGACTATGTCCAACACATCTGACAACAATGTTCATCATAGTGAATATTGTGACCATGGTATCCTGTTTGTAACTACTGTGTGCTGACTTTCTCCCCACAAGTGTCAATAGGATGATACAGGGTCCCACACACTGTTTTGTGTACAAGAGGAACAAGACACAGCTGGTCCACAGGCCTGGTCCAGCAGTCTGCAAGCTGACAGACACTGAGTCTTTGACAGGATCCACAAAGACGGCCAGCAGCAACATACAGGGCGGTACGGGCTGAGCTTATCATTCACTTATACCGAAAGGTAAAAGCAAATAATTGAACAAATTCGGAATGTCACATATATATATGTATATAAACATAAATGGTGTTTAATAATAATTGTATACATAAATAGTGTAAATCAAAAATATAACAATAAAAATACAACAGGAATGGTAGACATTTGTCCTTAACACTTCTCTCTCTCCCCTGCCAAAGTCTGCATAAGTGCAGGCAGGCAGAGCGGGGTGGGAACAACTGCACTCTCTGGAGTAGAACACATGTAGGACTGCATACACAAAGGAGTCTCTGGACCCTGCATGTAAACACATATGGAGCATGATCTGTGAGCAAAGTTCTCATCACAATGTGCTCATATACATCGGAATGATTGACTCTCCAGCCCAGCACATCCTCGGGACTGCGGAGGCTGCAAGTGCAGCTACCGCGTCCCTGTATCCAGACGGTAGTGGGTGTGCTGACTGGCTCATGTCATGTGGTGGTGTGTTGGGGTGGTGGTGGCTGTCGGTGTGATGTGGTCACTACTGCCGCTTGGGTCTGTTCATGGTGGTCAGCATCAAACTGATGTAGGAGGTGAGCAGGTCATCCATCTTGTACCCCTGCAACATGACACATGGTATTAGTGCTGCCTCAGCAGCTAGGGAAGGCATGATAAGGGTCTAACATGAGAAGTACTACACAGGCTACATCCAACGGTAAAGCAATCCAACCTTTCACAAACACGCACGCAGAACCGTGAAGATCCGGCTTAGAATTTGTCTTCAGCAGCCCATGCTTGCCGTAACAGGGCACTATGCTTGTTGTAATAGGTGACTAACGGAATCGTGTGGTCAGACTCGCTGAGTTGGTTGATGCATGTCATTGTATCCCAATTGCGTGGATCGATTTTCATGATATCAATCACTGGATTGTCTGGTCCAGACTCGATTAATTACAGACTGCCATCATATAGCTGGAAAATTGATGACTGTGGCGTAAAACAACAAACAGACAGGCATTGGCAGTCATCATTGTGCCACTGATCCCCGCCATGTTGGTCGCCCCTGACGACACGTGGGTTGTGCAACCTGTTCTGTGTACAGCCTTCTTACACCTTCACACACTGTTATGCTCCGTGTACACAGGACAGCAAATAGGGAAGCCAATACAAATCAGTGTCCACTAAACGATGTTAATGACCAGCATGAGGAACTCACCAGCGATGTCTCGCACAACAGCTTGCTGCCCCGCACTAGGTTGCCGATTGTCATGTGGAAGTAGGTGTTGCCACTGCTCCAGTTGGAGATCTTGGTGAAAGGATGTGTGGCAAGGATCTCCTGGCAAACACAAACATCATATGCTTTAGTGTGCAGTATTGCGGTAATGTGTATGGATACCATGATGCATTAGTGTGCAATATTGCAGTTATGTGTATGAATACCATGATGCATTAGTGTGTAGTATTGTAGTAATGTGTATGGATACCATGATGCATTAGTGTGCAGTATTGCGTATGAATACCATGATGCATTAGTGTGCAGTATTGCGGTCATCTATACTGATACCGTGATGCATTAGTGTGCAGCATTGCAGTTATGTGTATGAATACCATGATGCATTAGTGTGCAGTATTGTAGTAATGTGTATGGATACCATGATGCATTAGTGTGCAGTGTTGCAGTAATGTGTATGAATACCAGGATACATTAGTGTGTAGTATTGCGGTAATGTGTTAGAATACCATGATGCATTAGTGTGCTGTATTGCGGTCATCTATACTGATACCATGATACATTAGTGTGCAGTGTTGCAGTAATGTGTATGAATACCATGATACTTTGTGTGCAGTATTGTGGTAATGTGTATGGATACCATGATGCAATAGTGTGCAGTATTGCGGTCATCTATACTGATACCATGATGCATTAGTGTGCAGTGTTGCAGTAATGTGTATGGATACCATGATGCATTAGTGTGCAGTATTGTAGTAATGTGTATGAATACCATGATGCATTAGTGTGCAGTGTTGCAGTTATGTGTATGGATACCATGATGCATTAGTGCGCAGTATTGTAGTAATGTGTATGGATACCATGATGCATTAGTGTGTAGTATTGCAGTAATGTGTATGGATACCATGATGCATTAGTGTGTAGTATTGTAGTTATGTGTATGGATACCATGATGCAATAGTGTGCAGTATTGTAGTAATGTGTATGGATACCATAATGCATTAGTGTGCAGTATTGCAGTAATGTGTATGGACGATGCATTAGTGTGCAGTATTGCAGTAATGTGTATGGACACCATGATGCAATAGTGTGATTTATTGCAGTAATGTGTCTGGATACCATGATGCATTAGTGTGCAGTATTGTAGTAATGTGTATGGAAACCATGATGCATTAGTGTGCAGTATTGTAGTAATGTGTATGGATACCATAATGGATTAATGTGCAGTATTGCAGTAATGTGTATGGACGATGCAGTAGTGTGCAGTATTGCAGTAATGTGTATGGACGATGCATTAGTGTGCAGTATTGCAGTAATGTGTATGGATACCATGATGCAATAGTGTGCAGTATTGTAGTAATGTGTATGGATACCATAATGCATAAGTGTGCAGTATTGTAGTAATGTGTCTGGATACCATGATGCATTAGTGTGCAGTATTGTAGTAATGTGTATGGATACCATGATGCAATAGTGTGCAGTATTGTAGTAATGTGTATGGATACCATGATGCATTAGTGTGCAGTATTGCAGTAATGTGTCTGGATACCATGATGCATTAGTGTGCAGTATTGCAGTAATGTGTCTGGATACCATGATGCATTAGATGAGATTGTTAGTCTGTTGCTCCAGGGTGTCATGTGGAACAGACATACTGATGCAACTCCTGTTCTGTGAGTATTACATGGGTTCCTACCTTGTTCTGGGGATGGATGAGGTTCACACCGCTCTTGTTGATGGCGATGAGGAGGATCTCAGGGTAGTTAGGCTCTGTTGTTTGCTGTCCAGAAATTAATTGGCTTTTATTAGCATCTACATAGTAATAATATGGAATTCTGATTCAAAACACTATAGGTCTATCTATGTTTGAGTCTACAGACACTGAGTAATAGGTGTTGAGGGTGCAAGGCATTACAATGGGCGTCCCAGGCTGGAGACCTGTGGCACGCTGAACTTGATTCCCAAGCACTTTAATTGTACATACTCAGAAGCATTGTATAGATGTACGATTTATTGATGAAAGTCACCCATTGACACCTTGAACACGCAATCAACAATGATATAGATAAATGTTATGATTCAAACATCGCATAAAGGACCCAATATTGTGGTAAACACACAATGAGTGCTGGAGTTTACCTTGACTTCAAAGAATGCTGATCCAAATGTTGGCCACTTGAAGATGATCTTGAGGAACTCCACCTTGGCATCTTCCTGGCTTTTGCCAGCATCTCGGTTGTATGCCGCCACCATCGCCTGCAGCAGTCACCATTGTGATAACCATGGTCACAAACAGTGGCACAATTGTGCTCTAATTAGTCTACACACTTCAGTAAATAGGAAACCTTTAAGAACTTCCACATTCAAGAATATAGCATTCAAACAATATGCAATGCTGGTCAACAGAACCCTGCCCTTCTGCAACATGTGTAACTGGGGAAAAGCAGGCATCATCTCTGAACTAATTGATCTGTACAAATGTATAGTCCAACCCACTGAACTGAAGAGATACCCTGTCCCATTCTTTCTCCAGTCAATGCATCGATGAAACAACAAATACTATAACCAAGTTTGACTGTTCACAACTGTTACTTAGGGTTCAGGTAGTCTGCAGAGGGGATTCATCACCAACTCTATATTTTAAAGATAATACATAATACTACTTTGCATCAAATATTTATATCATTGAGGTTTGTAAAGGTGAAAAGACACACACACGAGTCACTGATTTGTATACAAAATTGTCAGGATTTTCAGGAAACACTCACCCTCTTCCAGTCTTCAGGTGACTGAGCTTTAACCATATCTTGTGGCAGGAATTCACGCAATGTTCTCCTGCAAAAGGGGAACATATATCAGTGGGTGTCTATGAGAACACAGGTCCCATAACACATTATTTATTTAAGAGTGCCTGGTGACTACTCACACCAAAGACTGTAGTTCCTTCTTGCTCTCCCCGTACTTGACCCTGTATATGAGGGCACCCAGGATTGCTGCCTCCTCCTTGCTGCACCGGTGATAGCCTCGCAGGAGCTTCGGCAACTCCTACAGAACAACACAGAACAGGGCTAGATGCAGCACACAGGGCTAGATACAGGAAACAGGGCTACTGACATGTAGGACTCACTAGTGTCGACACAGGGGACATGGTGCTGGACCTACCTGGTGATAGTGGAAGATCAAGTCAGCGTTGATGTCTTTGCCGGGCACAGTGTTGGTCCACAGCTTCTTCATGAAGAACACCTGGTACGTGAACTGTGGGACAGCACCTGCAGAAGGCAAGAACAGGCCAACTCAGGCTTCTCTACTTCTGGTGTACACTCTCAGTTGCACTAGCAAACTACCCACTTAGATCTGTCATAACCAGTTGGATAAAGTCACATTCTTTTGAGAATTAATTTCTGTGTAACTCATCAAAAAGACACACAAAAATATGAATGACAACAAACGTCACAAAACATTGAAAAAAAAATAAATTGAGATGCCAATTAGTGCCGGTCATTACAGACCATCGCATGATGCCTTAGGGAAGGGAGTGGTTGTTTACTTCCATTATGGGGAGCATTCAATTAATATCAATTAGCTAGTACACCCACAGTACACATTGTAGACAATACTTGACATTCCCTGTCCTCTGAGGTTCTAACTTTATACCAGACTTTCAGGTACTTGACACCTTTGTTCAGCAAGTTAATTTTAACATTGTCAGGATAGGGAGTGCCGGATGTATATTTGACAGACTGTTATTTAGTTGTGGTCAATGAACAGACTGATGTATGTCCTGGTTACTCAACACCTGTTGGCCAGTGAGGAGGGCAGCAACTCACCATCTCTGGACGGCCGGGCTTTCCTGATCCAGTCAGTCAGGTGCCGCACAAAGTCGAAGAAGAAATCTCCCTCTGGGACACTAATAACTGCAATATTCAATTGTAAATAAACATATATATCACACTAAAAAAATGTCTTTAAACAATGTTTAGAACACATTAATTCATGTATAGCAAATAAGGAAACCTCAATCTTTTACTTGCATATGAGTAAGGAGTGTATCACCCTTGCATCCACCCATCCCATTATCCCATCCCTTGGTATGAAAATGTTACATACATCAGGACAATGAAATTCATTGATTGTTATCAAAAAGAAACCTAACTAGAACCCAGGGACTCTGGAGCAGCATAGGTTCGCTGTACTTTATTCTGTTTTCTCAAGAGATGACAGCTATACAGATGGTTTCAGTGTTTATGGGTGTGTGTGTTCAGACTGAAATACTGGCAAGTATTGCTGCATTCGATCACCCCCTTCACAAGCATGAATGTATTTGACAGATAGTCCTTTGCTTTATGACACAGTTTACACACAAACCTTTGTCAGCTATCTTGACAAACAAGCTGAAGCCTTCTGCAGACCGCAGTGCCAGCTTGTTGGCAATGTTCTGACAGAAATCCTTTGCTCTAGTACTCGACTCAACCTCAAATGCCTGATAAAAAAAAATAGCAGGTATGTATCACGGTTCCTTTTATAATCCATTCGGAGAGACTTGTTAACATAAAGTACAAAATTTAAACTAAGATAAAATACAAAACTTGTATAGAATCAAATTACAAGGTTCAGTTCTATATTTCAACTGGAAGGTTACTACAAATGTCTCCTAAGCACAGTAGCATATCCCCACCTCGTCTGTGTCATCTGGGAAGTAGACTTTGTGCAGGATCTGTGTTGTCTTGTGCTGGATGGCCTCCACCTCAACTTGATGGGGAGGGTATTTCCTCGTACCATTCCTGCAACATGCAACACTCACCCTCAAACAACAGCAACACACAGACTTGGTATCTCGATAGTCATAAAACATACTTTGTGTCCATACATATAAGTATTCAACTGACAGGCCTCCTTTTGTGGGATTGGCAAGCAGGCTTATATTTACAAGTGCTTCATACCTTAGTGTCTTCTTGAGTCTGTTCATGCAGTCTGGGGCAATAGCATTCTTCCGTGTCCTGAGAAACTGCATCAGCTCCTTCAGGAGGTTGGTGCTTGGGGCAAAGCAGCCTGTAGCAAGCCACATCAGCTCATAACCACGCTCCTCACTGGCTCTGTAGGAAAACACCACATGGTAGCACTGGGCAGGACAATCACGGTAAGGTCTATAGCTGTTTATCAGATACTGCTGTTACATTAACAGGTCACAATATTTGACTAGAACACACTTTCTATGGACGAAAGTAGTGCTGGATAGATGGACGTGATTATCAGTGCTTACTTCCCCCCCTGAAGGTGTGCAACATGGTCTGGGCCTACCTGACTCGGTTGTCCGTCAGCTGCTTCATGATCTGGCAGTACACCTCGTCTCGCAGGATTTCCTGAAACCAAAGAATAAGCACCTCTAAAAGACCACTTAAGAGTTGAGAATTTTCAGCATGTTCAGTAGCAAGAGGTGAGGTGAGGTGAAATAGGGTTTAACGTCGCTTTCAAGATTATTGCACTTACATAGCAACGTGCAAGCACGTGTGCGTGTGCGTGTGTGTGTGTGTGGCTGCTTGTCTTAGTCCAGACTTATGCATATTTTATAGCGCTAGCCCACTGAGATACCATGCTGCAGTTTAACATGGATACCCTACTCAGACACAGTATAATGACTCCGAGCCGACCAGTCCTTGTTTTAGCCCCTTAATGCAGAGCGCCAGGCAGGGTAACAAGTACCATCTTACAACGTCTATTGATATGATGTGGCTGGAAATCGAAACCCAACCTTCCACTCTCCGGCTAGAGACCCTCCCATGAGAGCACTGTGGCAAAAGGAGTAAATTTTTACAAATACTAAACTGAGATTTTTCCATAACACAACACTCTATATGATAGAATGGTTTTGATCTTAAAAATATCTAAAGATATCTCAAAAGGTGCTGTTTCACAATTCATTTCTTATTTCATTATATCCTTAATTCACCAATATACAAAACAGGTTTTTAGATTTCAAAAAATCAAATTACAAAGTGAACAATAGTGTAACAATCAATTCTCTTGTGGTATTTTAGAATGAATTTTAGACTTAAGAAATGGAATTGTGAATCATTATATTAAATTTTTTTTCGTAATAACTGCCATTACTCAGATCTTATGACATTACTCAGGTGTTATGACATTACTCAGGTGTTGTGACATTACTCAGGTGTTATGACATTACTCAGGTGTTGTGACATTACTCAGGTGTTATGACATTACTCAGGTGTTATGACATTACTCAGGTGTTGTGACATTACTCAGGTGTTATGACATTACTCAGGTGTTATGACATTACTCAGGTGTTGTGACATTACTCAGGTGTTATGACATTACTCAGGTGTTATGACATTACTCAGGTGTTGTGACATTACTCAGGTGTTGTGACATTACTCAGGTGTTGTGACATTAAGGGGAGAATTCATTACTTTGATTAACAAAGAAATGAGATTTTCAGATATCAATAACAATACATCTAAAATTTGTGATATCTAAAACACATTAGGTGATCATTTGATTGTAAGATATCAGAAAATAAAACTCTGTGGTATAAACAAAAATCGTTGTATCACAGGTTTTCAGACATCATATGTTTTCTGACGGCCATGTTTATCGAGATTACTTGTGCTATAACAGGGTGTGTAGCATCCACAGAAAATTAAATACCCAGATGATGGCTTGTTTTGAACAGAAAGTTGTCTTTTATGAGTGAATGAGATGTTTTACAATTGTTCATGTGATTAGACAAAACTATGATTGTTTCTTAAGAATCCAAAACCAATAACAGGGGGATACTTCAAATTTTTATACATCACAAATTGTATCTCATGTAATATAATACATGTTCTGGTTTTATTAATTACATTTTGCAGGTATAATAGAATGATCAAATATATTTTAAATATCATCAGTATTATTTACTGATCATGATACTGACATTTTAACACAAATAAGATGTAAGATCCATTATATAAAGGAAACTATCTGTAATTAATTTATGGTATAAAATTAAATTGGTGATTATACATCAAATATATTATTTATATAACAAAATGGAGAATAAGTCACATTACGGTATTTTATGTTATATATTCATTTATCATATAATGAGTAGGTTTCTCGGCAGGATAAAGCCAACGGATAAAAACGATATCCGTTGGGGTCATATGGGGATAGAGATGCAAATATCAAAGGTCAAGTAGGGAATACTTTCACTGTTTATAAACAAACATGGCGTCGCCCTCGTCATTCGGCGATCGAGTCAGAATTAACCATCGGGAATCTGGATAAACTACAGGGATAATTGCTATCATTATCAAAAGAACAGTCTAACATACTGAAAATCAGTGTCTAACTGTGACGTAGCTGAGGCATTTTATAAGTTTTGGCAACTTTGGAGTTATAAACTTCGAAACAATTTTGCGAGGGCACAAGGCCTAGCCAAGCAGGATCAGTAGCCATATCTGTGCCTGTAGACCTCTGCGGCTTGAAAACTTTTCCACAAATTAAAATAGTTGGATTTGCCCGAAATATGTTTGAATTGTTACCTTGTTTCGTTTTGTTGCTGTGTGTACATCCGAATGCACTTCTTAACGTTATGACAGGACAGGCCGACTGTCAACAGCGTCTGAACGTGGCCATGACGTCTCATAGACTAGGGTTAGAGTAGCTTCCCTTTGACAAAGGGCAGTTACTCTAGCGTACAGACCGATGGATTGCCACGAAATGCAAGTAAAAACAATTGTTGTTTTGCATATATGTTGCTTCGCCACTGTATAAGAAACAGAATTCAGTTGGAACTATATTGGCTACTGTCACTGTCCGACTGACACATCACTTACCCTGTGACGTAATAAATATTAATTCGCACATTCCAGGAAAACTCGCAATGTTTAGGTAATGTTTGTGAGAGAGGGAAAGCGATTTTCAAACACAGAACTTAAGAATGTCATTATATGATAAAGAGGTTATCACGCTTGTGTTTTTGGGGATGGTAAATATCCTGTATTAGGAATAAACACTATGTATTTAGCTCGCCAAGGCTTGCTAAATACAATGTTTATTCCTAATGCATGATATTTACCATCCCCAAACACACTCGCATGATAACCTCTATATATTTTCATTGTAGTAAAGTGCAAATAAAAGTTTATGAAGAAACATTTCCTTGAAATTGAGTACTTACATTTCTGAGTGGAGGTTCGAATATGGCATCAGTGATTTCATTGGAGTTCCTACTTCTCTTGGATGGATGGTCACCCATGTACTTCAGTATAGGTGCAAGGGTTAAGGAGAAAGTAGCAGACAACTTCATTACCTAGAAATGTAACTGAGGACTGTGTTCCCTGACGTGTGACTGAGGACTGTGTTCCCTGGTATAAGTGTGGACTGTGTTGCTTGATGTGTGTGACTGAGGACTGCATTCCCTGGTATAAGTGTGGACTGTGTTGCTTGATGTGTGTGACTGAGGACTGCTTTCCCTGGTGTAAGTGTGGACTGTGTTGCCTGACGTGTGTGACTGAGGACTGCGTTCCCTGGTGTAAGTGTGGACTGTGTTGCCTAACTTGTGTGACTGAGGAGTGCGTTCCCTGGTGTAAGTGTGGACTGTGTTCCCTGACATGTGTGACTGAGGACTGCATTCCCTGGTATAAGTGTGGACTGTGTTGCCTAACTTGTGTGACTGAGGACTGCGTTCCCTGGTGTAAGTGTGGACTGTGTTGCCTGACGTGTGTGACTGAGGACTGCATTCCCTGGTGTAAGTGTGGACTGTGTTCCCTGACATGTGTGACTGAGGACTGCATTCCCCGGTGTAAGTGTGGACTGTGTTGCCTAACTTGTGTGACTGAGGACTGCGTTCCCTGGTGTAAGTGTGGACTGTGTTGCCTGACGTGTGTGACTGAGGACTGCATTCCCTGGTGTAAGTGTGGACTGTGTTCCCTGACATGTGTGACTGAGGACTGCATTCCCTGGTATAAGTGTGGACTGTGTTGCCTGACGTGTGTGACTGAGGACTGCATTCCCTGGTGTAAGTGTGGACTGTGTTGCCTGACGTGTGTGACTGAGGACTGCGTTCCCTGGTGTAAGTGTGGACTGTGTTGCCTAACTTGTGTGACTGAGGAGTGCGTTCCCTGGTGTAAGTGTGGACTGTGTTCCCTGACATGTGTGACTGAGGACTGCATTCCCTGGTATAAGTGTGGACTGTGTTCCCTGACATGTGTGACAGAGGAGTGCGTTGCCTGGTGTAAGTGTGGACTGTGTTGCTTGACGTGTGTGACTGAGGAGTGTGTTGCCTGGTATAAGTGTGGACTGTGTTGCCTGACGTGTGTGACTGAGGACTGCGTTCCCTGGTGTAAGTGTGGACTGTGTTGCCTGACTTGTGTGACTGAGGAGTGCGTTCCCTGGTGTAAGTGTGGACTGTGTTGCCTGACTTGTGTGACTGAGGACTGCGTTCCCTGGTGTAAGTGTGGACTGTGTTGCCTGACTTGTGTGACTGAGGAGTGCGTTCCCTGGTGTAAGTGTGGACTGTGTTGTCTGACTTGTGTGACTGAGGACTGCGTTCCCTGGTGTAAGTGTGGACTGTGTTGCCTGACTTGTGTGACTGAGGAGTGCGTTCCCTGGTGTAAGTGTGGACTGTGTTGCTTGATGTGTGTGACTGAGGACTGCATTCCCTGGTGTGGGGGGGACTGTGTTGCCTGACCTGTGTGACTGAGGACTGCGTTCCTGGTGTAAGTGTGGACTGTGTTGCCTAACTTTTGTGACTGAGGACTGCGTTCCCTGGTGTAAGTATGGACTGTGTTGCATGACCTGTGTGACTGAGGACTCCTTCCCTGGTGTAAGTGTGGACTGTGTTGCCTGACGTGTGTGACTGAGGACTGCGTTCCTGGTGTAAGTCTGGACTGTGTTGTTCAACATGAGAGTGAGGAAGGATATCAAGGAAGCTCATGCAGGCCTCTGCACTCTGATCCTCCTTGCCCTGCAGCTTCTTCAGCAGTGGCTGCTTGATGGGGTCCTTGGAGTACCGCCACAGGTCATCCATGCGCTTACGACCCGCAGACTTGATGGACTTGCTCAGGGTGCGCTTGGGGGGCATTCTGTAACATACAACATGCAAACCATTTCAAAATAGGTTAATTCCTTTTCAGTGTTAATAACCACAGCATCTTCTTAGTATGTGAGTGAAGTCCAGCCCATCAAATAATCACATGTAAACAAGCAGATCGTAGCTAGAAGCCTCAGTCAATGCTGTGCCGTACAACAATAAACTACATCAAATCACAGTATTTCCTCCTGAAGTGGTCCATGGTGTACTGCCCTAGTGTGGGCTACATACTGGAAGTGTCGCAACTGGGATATGATGACATGCATCCACTCAGTCAGAGAGCCTGACCACCTGATCCCGTAAATCGCCTCTTACGACAAGCATGGTTGCCTCTCACAACAAGCATGGGTTGCTGAAGATCTTCAGGGTCACATACCTGAAATGGTCCAGGGAGTACTGCTCCAGTGTGTGGGGCTTTTCTCCTGGCTCGATTATCTCAGTTTCATCTTGCATAGGGGCCAACAGCTTCTCAGTCTGCTCCCCAGACTGAACAAACAAGTTCTGAAACAAGACAAGAATATGTTAACTGCCCAACCAAATCCATTATTAAGTTGTTGTTGATGTTGATGTCAATTTTGATGTCAATGTTGATGTCAATGTTCATTGTTGTTTAATGCCGCACTCAGCAATATTTCAGCTATATGACAGCAGTTTGTAAATAATCAAGTCTTGGCCAGACAATCCAGTGATTGACATAATGAGCATTGATCTACGCAATTGGGATATGATGACATGCATCGACCAAGTCGGCAAGCCTGACCACCCGATCCTGTTAGTCTGCTCTTACAACAAACATAGTCACCTTTCACGGCAAGCATGGGTGGCTGGAGACCTATTCTAACTCGAATCTTCACAGGTCCATTATGAAGTTAAAAGAGTATTTAATAAACACATCTCATACTACTGAGAGACATTGCTTCCAGTGATTGCGTTTGTATTCAGCTGGTGAGAAGACATACTAACCAGTATTTCTGTCGGTGGCCGGGTGATGGTAGGCAGGACATACACGCACTCGGCTGGGAAGTCTCCCTTCTTGTTGGTCTTGACGTTCTCCCCGTAGCACCAGCCGGAGTTCATCACCGTCTCCCCACTCTGCTGGTCCAGCACTATCAGGTCTCCCTTGCTGAATGTCAGGAAGGTGGAACCCTCACCTGGAAGGGGGACAGAAGGTCAGGTGACTCTTGTGCCAGGGAAGGAGCAGCCTCCACATAGTAACAGGAAGGACGATCAGAGTCATAGCAGTCATTCAGAACAGATATTCTCACATGACCTGTCATGTTGTTAATCATACAAAGCACATCCACAAATGTGCCCTTTACCACATCCCATTCATCACTTGTTTCATAAGTTATTTAGTCATAGGTGCTGTCGGTCAGCAACATATGTATGGACAGGGTACACCAAGGGGTAGGGAAACTTCTCCACCACCACAGAATTGTGTTGAGACACAGAGAGGTTGAGGTGAGTTGTGTACCTGGTGAGGTGTAGTCCTGGATGGCGATGACATATTTGGACCTCTTCTTCAGTCCCTCCAGGAAGGTGACCACCAGGTCCTTGATGTCCTCGGCATTGGGGGAGGTGAAGGTGTACTCGTCACCCTTCACTGTTGCCAGCGTGAAGCTCTGACCATGCATCTTGCCCGTTCTGAAACATGGAACACAAAAAATAACACACAAAAATGTAAAACACAATTATACCCTATGTAACCCCATCTATCCTTGCATGCTTGTAATTCTGCAAAAGCCCTATATGGAATAGGGTGCAATATAAGATAGCAACATGAAAAATTGCAAAGAGCAATGAAGAACAAAGCATGTTCTATTTTATGATAAAACATTGTTCTAGTCTGATGTTATTTCTGGAGATTCAAACATGAGCTCGCAACATGATGATGTCATAATTTGGACGTTATTTTTTAGAGGGATGTGTCCAGTGAGTTATTCCCCATAGATGAAGCTGGGCAACACAGATAAACACAAAGGCAAAACGATCGTACAATTAGACATTGCAGGGAGAATAAATCACTCAGGACTGCACCGCTCATAGTTTATTCTCCCTGCAATGTCTAATTGTACGATCAACAACTCCCACTCGTGGTATACTTCTTAAATATAACAGCTAATATGGCATTGTTTCCATAGAAACGTCCTAAATCACTGATAACGATGACACATGATAGATGTGCAAAGTTAAATGTGCTGTATATTGCTGTGTATAAGGCGAGTTTCTTGTACCTAGAATTAGGGGGCTTCAAGGGGTGTCATCTTATACACAGGGTTGAAGAGTTTTGATGTTTTTTCCTCCCAACACAAAGACATTACTGTGAGCATGTAACACCGGAAATACCATGTCAACAAATCTGTACTGAAGTATGCAAACTAATCATGGTTATAAAAAGTGTTCATTTTGTATCTGGAATTACGTCAGTTATCTATTTTATTAATTTTATTCAACATTTCATTTAGTATCGTTTACATTAATTTCAGCGAAATTGTATGTGAAGTGATCGGAACATCGCACAACTGACCATTATTTACAGCAACCACGACAGATTACAGCTATAGATGCCTTGAAATAAACTTAAGTGGATAGAGAATGGATATAGATATAATAAATGCCATACACTGACTAGCTGAAAGTCAGATTTGTTGTAGTTTGACTATGATATGTATATGTCAACATAAAGTTTTCGTTATCGCGAGTGGGAGCATCGACGGTCACTGGTCAAATTGTTCCATACAAAAAAATATCTGGCAATAGCCATCAGCTGTACCAAAGTGCTTATGGTTATTAATATATTTCAAATACATGCATGTAGTGAAGCTGCAACTAAAATAACATGATATTGAAATATATTATTCTTGATAAAATAATAGTTTCTGATAAAATTCATATGATCATTGTTTCAAAATTCTTTTGAGTTATAGTATTGGGTAATTATTAACCGAATCAGCGGTTAGTTTACGAGACAATACACACAGTAATCTTAATCTCTAAACAACGTTTTATCTCAAATTTGTATTGACCAAGTGTAATTGTTAACATCTGTTCGTTTCCCTTAATTCGCTAAAGGGATACAATGAAATATCTTTTTATTGCAAATGTAGGGATTTAGTATGTGCTAGAAAGTGGTAAAATGTAACAAATGTTATATTTGTGATAACACTTTCTTAGTAAAGTACAGATTCTCATACTTTTTGGGGTTGAGTCCCGTCCAGGATTCCAATGTGTGAGGCACCTATAGCAGCACACAAAGTCAGCGGTCTAACCCACTCAGCCACCGAGGCTTCCACAAAAATGAAAGTCCGACAACTGGTAGTCTAGATCTAGATTAAATTGTGCACTAAAACAACTGATTTGAAACACTATTCTGTCAGTCAGCCCATCTTAGGCACAGTGCCCCTTATTTTACAATCAATTATCAATGCTACTTACCGGCTACTAGAGACTGCAGTAATTTCAGGGAAAGACAACTCCAGCAGGACTTGTTCCTGGTCATCCACTACGTACACTCCTGTCCAGTTGACAGCGATTATCACATCATTCTTAGGTAAACTCGGGCCAGCAAACTTATATGCCTCATAGAATCTAGAGAAAAGTAATGGCCATTTATATTTTGCATAGCTGACAATGTCCTCTTTGACTTTTGGTGCTCTAATCCTTTCGTTTGTGAAGTACGGACTTCGGAGTTTACTGACAACAGATGCCATCCATCCCTGCATGGCATTGGGCTTCTGTAGGTAGGAGTCCGGGACGAAGGATGGCAGCAGGGCCTGGAGGCGCTCCTGGATCAGGTTGGTGCCATGCTCCACGAAGTACTGCTGAGCAGCAATCATTGCCAGGTCCTCATCCTGAAACACACGTTTGAACAATTCACTACAGGAGAGGGCCAACTTCAACAGCTAGGATTGAACCAATTTCATCTCAAATAAAACAATTATTTAATCTCACTTTCTGTCACTCTTGATTGCATACAGATAATCAAACTGTCTTGTTTCGTTGTCATATTTGGTACACTGAACTTTAGAATGTCCATGAGTAGGAATTCATAACAGATGACAATTTGTCTGGCAAGTACTCTGTGTGTTTTGAGCAGTAACATCACTTCACTATATCTGTTACTTGCTATAACTGTGTGTTAGCGTAACTCTCTTATCAGAAGACATTTGGCAAAAAATATGATGAATAAGTGTTTTTCAAGATGAGGTCCTGATATCCTATTAGTTTATTGTATTGGTGTTTAGAAGCATACACTGCTTTGTACATGGCATCCCTATTATACAATCACCTGCATAAGTCAGGCTGCAAGTATAGTTTTACTATATAGTTTCAGAACATTTGGTCTTATAACACCAAAGAGGAGAAATCGTGCTAAAAGATGACAATGTAAACTTCAATGTATCCCTGAGTTAGCATGTGTACATTACATAGGTTACCTTGTCACATCGGTACTCTCCAAACTTGATGCCCCGGACAACCTGCTGGTAGATGAGGTTGGTAGCCACAAGGTCCTCACTGGGATCATGCCATGGGGCAAAAATCTCTTTCCGGAAGAACAATCTCCATGGCGCATTCCGCTCCTGCGCCCCCTGCTCCTTGGCATACTGCTCACACTGGGAGATGGCGTCCATCACATGGTCACCACCACTGCCCAGGGAAGACACCTGCACACACAATACCTCGCTTTACATTATCTCCTTACTGTCGCTATTGGCTTATGTCGTCTTAAGATGGAGGTGGCACACAAGAGAGAGAGAGCACTCAACACATGCTGCCATCCAGAAACTTTACTGCGAACTGACTGCTACACTGAAGAGGACCCGCACATGCATTGCATACTTGCCACACAACTAATTTAACTGAACAATTCTCATAATAAGACTTCTAATGAAAACCTGCACTATCACAGGGCTAGTGCCTAGTGCTAGCATCAGCTGCTGACCTTGTCAAACAATGCAATGTAGAGAGAGAAGCCAAACTGATCCCGCAGCTCGATCTTCTCGGAGAGCTGCTGGCACAGCTCACGGGCGGTGGTTGCGGAGTCGGCGAGGAGAGTCTTCGTGTTGCCATCCATGAATGTGATGGGCAGCATCAGCGGCTTCTTTGATTTAGTGGCCTGAAAGCAGTATCAGGGGAGATTCACTGGTCTGTCATGACGAGTCAGGTACATTCAATTATTGCTAGTATCCTGTGAGCAACATCATCTACTTGATCCCATCTTACTAGGTTGCCATGGCGACTTACCTGCAGCTCTAGCCAGCTGGGGGGCTGGTTCCTGGGGCCATTGGAGAAGGTACGACGGAGGCGCTCTTCACAGTAGGGTGCATAGCCAGGTGGGCCATCTTGGATGAAGTTGCGCAGATACTTCACCATCTTGTAACACAAACAGAGAATGCTAATATTGATAATAAACTAATCATGTATGAAGTGACGTGGCTGTCAATACCAACACAATACAATCACTGCCCTAACCTTACATGCATATTAAACATATGCCAGTGCCTGTAGTTTACCTTTCCCTCCTGTCATGCAATCACAACTAAAGACTAAAAGTGTTCCTGTAACATCTGACAATAGGACATCAATGGGAGTTTGACATAATGAATCATCATGCTACCAGAGAAAGTCCTAACTTTCATCAATGGCTTGGTGTTCATGGTAATCTGAAGGAATGGCTTACATTTTCTGAAGGGGGGAAGCAGCCTACACACAGACACAGCAGGATCCAGCCACGGGCATGGCTGGCCTTGGAGGGGTTCTGATTCAGCTGCTTGCAGATCTGACTGTAGATCTCATCTCTGTAAAACAACATTCTTCATAAGTAACTCAAATTACATGGACAACATTCACATAGCCTTGTTTCATACAAACTTCAAACAACAATATCTCATAAATTTTTGGAATAAGCCTAGGACAACCAGCATATCTCAAACAGTGTTTCTAAATCTACACAAAGAAATATTTGGATCCATGTTATTTCAAGAGCCAACCGGAAACAATACACATAATTTTTTACCCTCTCAAATGCTAGCATGTTTTGCACTAGAAGCAGCACATATTATTATATATATTCTATAGTTTGTGTGGAAATAGAAGAAATAGTAACAATATTTCAGTTTTCAAGGAAGAAGTTTCAGATAATATCAACATCAAAATATTTAAAATATGTTAAAAGAAAATATAAACCTGCTAAAGATATAATCTACATTGGATAACATGGAGGACAGTACATGAAACAACTGGAGAAACATTAGGAGCAAAGTTGGTCCTCTCAGACCTTCAAAACAATATGCTTAAATATGAACTGGCTATTGTGTCAAAAAACTTATCAGTTGCCCTAATAATACAGAGATATGCTATAACATCATGCAATCTTGGGAGAACCATTTCACAAGACTTAATAAGTTTTATGAGATAATGCATGTTTTGTATGTTGACATTGTGAGAGAGGCACCTGAGTTCTGGTCTGAGGATGCCATGCCCGATGATGAAGTGCAACTTCTCCAGGTTGGACATGGGTCGGTCCTCCAGCAAGGCGTTGCCGCCTCCGGTGCTGTCATAGTCCTGCAGCTTCCGGGTCACCTCCTCTGTGATCTTGGACTTCTTCTTTAGTGTCAGAGACACTATCTTCTTCCGAGTGGACTTCTTGATGGTGTGGCGCTGGTAGCCTGGAGCCTCCTTCTCCTGTAAGTGTTAGGGGGTGGTTCAAGTGACAGGGGTATCCTACAGGCATGTGCATGTGTGGCATGTGCATGTGTAGCATTGCTTGTCTACCTAACCATACTGCACTGCAGCAGATGATTATTTGAAATAATGATCACTGTTACAAGTGCATCATTGGAGACAATCCAGTAGTATTTCTCCTTATATAATAGGTCTATTTAATACTACATTATAACCTTATTCAACAAATAAACGACAGATGTGATTTTATTTCTTATACGAGATATCAACATCATGTACAACCTCTTTAAGGTTGTTAATAAATTGTACAAGCTTTAAAAATATTTACCCATACTTAATAACATGACACCCTAAATACAATCATTTTATGAACAGGGCGGATAAGTTTGGTATGTCCTGGATGTTACACATATCATCAGTACCTTTTCTCCTAATACTGATTGTCACATCTCGGCCACTTTAGCATGCAATCATTTGGCCATTGCGTTTATCTAGGTTGAGCATCTACATCTATGGGTAACAACACACTAGACACTTCCTTCTCAAAAATATCATTTTCCATTTTATGATGTCATCAATTTGCGAGCGCATAATCAAATCTCCAGAAATGACATTATCATTGAACAATGTTTTATCGTGAAATAAACAACGCTTCATTCTTCAAAGTTTTTTGCAATTTATCGCGTAGCTATCTCACACCAAAGAATGATATGTTTTTTTATGGTATTATTATATCATTTAATGCCACAGTCAGCAAAATTCAATATTTATGATGGTGGCCTCTAATTAACTGAATCTGGGCAAGGCAGACCACTGATTGACATGATTGACATCAGGGTACAGTGACATCCAATCATTCAAGTCACCCAATCCACTTAGTCACCTTGTACACAAAGTATAGGTTATTGGAGGCCTATTGTCATCTGATATATATTACACCATCGCCTACATGTCTGTTGTCCTTAGACACTCACAAAGCTTAAGACTCTGACCATTTTCTTACTCATGCAGATTTGATCTGCCAAGTGTCACTACAGGCGCATCTCCCTCAATCCATGCTTGATGTTCAGGTAGGAAGGTTATGATCCACGTCTACACACAGCACACAGGTTAATTACAAAGTGTAAACAACAGCCAGCTGGCCTGACTAGCAGAGACAAGCCACTTTTGTATCAGTGCACTGGACACAGGTTTCACAGCACGGCACACTGTGGCAGCTCTACAGTACCAAGGCTTAGGAAAGACAGGGCAGGAAGGGCAAGAATCAGATCATTGTGAAGTGTATGGTGCTGAAACAACACGATATTGCCCTAACCCTGCGAACAGCACGCAAGAGCCTGCTTCTTTCATCGTGTTGACTGAAGGCCACAGGTCCATCTTAGAGGACCTACTTGTGCATTGTGGTCAGCATAGAGCAAATGTGCCCTTCTGGTCCCCCGAATTGTCATGTTAAATGTGCAGTACTGGTCCCAGGAATTGTCATGTTAAATGTTCCCTACTGGACCCAGGAATTGTGATGTTAAATGTGCCCTACTGGTCCCAGGATTTGTCATGTTAAATGTTCCCTTCTGGTCCCAGGAATTGTGATGTTAAATGTTCCCTTCTGGTCCCCCGAATTGTGATGTTAAATGTGCCCTACTGGACCCAGGAATTGTGATGTTAAATGTGCCCTACTGGTCCCAGGAATTGTCATGTTTAATGTTCCCTACTGGTCCCAGGAATTGTCATGTTTAATGTTCCCTACTGGACCCAGGAATTGTCATGTTAAATGTGCCCTACTGGTCCCAGGAATTGTCATGTTTAATGTTCCCTACTGGTCCCAGGAATTGTGATGTTAAATGTGCCCTACTGGTCCCAGGATTTGTCATGTTAAATGTGCCCTATTACTGCTTGGAATTGTCATGTTAAATGTGCCCTACTGGACCCAGGAATTGTCATGTTTAATGTTCCCTACTGGTCCCAGGATTTGTCATGTTAAATGTTCCCTACTGGTCCCAGGAATTGTCATGTTTAATGTTCCCTACTGGTCCCAGGAATTGTCATATATAATGTTCCCTACTGGTCCCAGGATTTGTCAGGTTTAATGTGCCCTACTGGTCCCGGGAATTGTCATGTTAAATGTTCCCTACTGGTCCCAGGAATTGTGATGTTAAATGTGCCCTACTGGTCCCAGGATTTGTCATGTTAAATGTTCCCTACTGGTCCCAGGAATTGTCATGTTTAATGTTCCCTACTGGTCCCAGGAATTGTCATGTTTAATGTTCCCTACTGGTCCCAGGATTTGTCATGTTTAATGTTCCCTACTGGTCCCAGGAATTGTCATGTTTAATGTTCCCTACTGGTCCCAGGAATTGTCATGTTTAATGTTCCCTACTGGTCCCAGGATTTGTCATGTTTAATGTTCCCTACTGGTCCCAGGATTTGTCATGTTAAATGTGCCCTACTGGACCCAGGAATTGTCATGTTTAATGTTCCCTACTGGTCCCAGGATTTGTCATGTTAAATGTTCCCTACTGGTCCCAGGAATTGTCATGTTTAATGTTCCCTACTGGTCCCAGGAATTGTCATATATAATGTTCCCTACTGGTCCCAGGATTTGTCAGGTTTAATGTGCCCTACTGGTCCCGGGAATTGTCATGTTAAATGTTCCCTACTGGTCCCAGGAATTGTGATGTTAAATGTGCCCTACTGGTCCCAGGATTTGTCATGTTAAATGTGCCCTACTGGTCCCAGGAATTGTGATGTTAAATGTGCCCTACTGGTCCCAGGATTTGTCATGTTAAATGTTCCCTACTGGTCCCAGGATTTGTCATGTTAAATGTGCCCTATTACTGCTTGGAATCGTCACGTTAAATGTGCCCTACTGGACCCAGGAATTGTCATGTTTAATGTTCCCTACTGGTCCCAGGATTTGTCATGTTAAATGTTCCCTACTGGTCCCAGGAATTGTCATGTTTAATGTTCCCTACTGGTCCCAGGAATTGTCATATATAATGTTCCCTACTGGTCCCAGGATTTGTCAGGTTTAATGTGCCCTACTGGTCCCAGGAATTGTCATGTAATCTGTGCAGTACTGGTCCGAGGAATTGTCATGTTAAATGTGCCCTATTACTGCTTGGAATTGTCATGTTAAATGTGCCCTACTGGTCCCAGGAATTGTCATGTTAAATGTGCCCTACTGGTCCCAGGATTTGTCATGTTTAATGTGCCCTACTGGTCCCAGGAATTGTCATGTAATCTGTGCAGTACTGGTCCGACGAATTGTCATGCTAAATTTTCCCTACTGGTCCCAGAAATTATCATGTTAAATGTGCCCTACTACTGCTTAGAATTGTCATGTTAAATGTGCCCTACTGGTCCCAGGATTTGTCATGTTAAATGTGCCCTACTGGTCCCACGAATTGTCATGTTAAATGTGCCCTACTGGACCCAGGAATTGTCATGTTAAATGTGCCCTACTGGACCCAGGAATTGTCATGTTAAATGTGCCCTACTGGTCCCATGAATTGTCATGTTAAATGTGCCCTACTGGACCCAGGAATTGTCATGTTAAATGTGCCCTACTGGTCCCATGAATTGTCATGTTAAATGTGCCCTACTGGACCCAGGAATTGTCATGTTAAATGTGCCCTACTGGTCCCACGAATTGTCATGTTAAATGTGCCCTACTGGACCCAGGAATTGTCATGTTAAATGTGCCCTACTGGTCCCAGGATTTGTCATGTTAAATGTGCCCTACTGGACCCAGGAATTGTCATGTTAAATGTGCCCTACTGGACCCAGGAATTGTCATGTTAAATGTGCCCTACTGGTCCCATGAATTGTCATGTTAAATGTGCCCTACTGGACCCAGGAATTGTCATGTTAAATGTGCCCTACTGGTCCCACGAATTGTCATGTTAAATGTGCCCTACTGGACCCAGGAATTGTCATGTTAAATGTGCCCTACTGGTCCCAGGATTTGTCATGTTAAATGTGCCCTACTGGTCCCACGAATTGTCATGTTAAATGTGCCCTACTGGACCCAGGAATTGTCATGTTAAATGTGCCCTACTGGTCCCAGGATTTGTCATGTTAAATGTGCCCTACTGGACCCAGGAATTGTCATGTTAAATGTGCCCTACTGGACCCAGGAATTGTCATGTTAAATGTGCCCTACTGGTCCCATGAATTGTCATGTTAAATGTGCCCTACTGGACCCAGGAATTGTCATGTTAAATGTGCCCTACTGGACCCAGGAATTGTCATGTTAAATTTGCCCTACTGGATCCAGGAATTGTCATGTTAAATGTGCCATAGTGCTCCTAGTTCCCCCTTCACAAGTTGTTGTGCACAATGCGCTTGTTCCAACACCGTACACTGTCTAGAGAAGGGGGTAGGGGCCTCGCCACTGTCCTCATGGACTAATTGGAGATGGCATTCAGTTCAACTAATCTACATCAGTATGGAGGTCTAAGATAACAGTAACATATTTCTTTGCTTTGACAGGCAAGATAACAAGTACATGTTTCATTATTTCAATTTCTGTATCAGATAGTCTCCACGGTAGTCTTGAGGCCCATGGCAGGTGAGGGATGGGTTAATAAGAAAGAGTAGTAAGCTTGTATTTACCATACTCACCAACTCTTCTCCCATTTTCATTGCCTCCTCAAGGTCTTTCTTATTGAACTTACGACCTAATGTAGAGTAGATCTTTGACATCACTGGGGTCGTATCCTGGAACATTATTTCAAAAGTCAACCACAAATATGTAGGAGTACTGCAGAAAAACTCAATATATGAGAATTAACAACATTGTGACTACTGACATCGTAAAAGCTGAAGTACAGATCCAATCAGACCTATCTTGGTGTATTACTTCCCTGTGGACACTTACCCTTGACTCGGCCATGGCTGTGTGGTACTTGGGTTCTGGCAGGTCCCCCATGAAGCGCAGGATGACAATCCATACTGCCAGGGCAGCCTACAACACAACACAGAGCTGCAGGAGGGACACCAGCATCATGGAACCTCAGCGGAACATCACACAATAGTTGACTGATGTATAGCAGTCAGAACAGTACAGCACACGCAGCAGCAGTATTGAACGAGATAGTACTCACCAACTGGTCACCATCATTGCGAAGTGGCAGCAGAGGCTGTCTGAGTGGCCGACGGATATAGTTGCCATTAGCATTGGACTGGAAGTACATTGTGGCAAACTTGGGGAACTTGTAGGCAGAGACATCCTCATCATCCGAGTCAATTGGGCTGAAGTTCTTGACGACTTCCATCTCCAGGTTGTCGTTGTCCCTCCTGTACGGCAGGTCCTGAACAGTCACCACATTACACAGCGGCTGATAGACAACACATGCTCACAGACACAAGGAAACAGCACACTGGTTTCATATGTACTCTTAGAGGTAGATAGAGGTAGATACAGGTATTTGGGCAATTAAACCAAACACCTGGCACTAGCCATAGGGAACGTTCATCTGCAGTAGTTGTACATGTGTTGTTTGATTCTATCAACATACTTTGCAGTTCACGATGTAGTGAGTGAGTGAGTAGGATTTAACAATGTTTTGAACAGTATTACAGATATATCACGACGTGTCAGCTTCATGTGGGAGGAAAGCCTGAAGTAATGCAGGTAACAGACGTTTACCACTTTGGTGAAACCCATGCACATGGGTATGGTGCTGACAAACCTTGAAACAAACCTTGACCCACAACCCTATGTTTCTGGCATGCCCAAAGGATGCAACACTGCACAGCCAAGTGCGACGACTTAGACTACTTGGTCCACCTGTGCCCCAGGTCACGATGTAAGAGAAGTTGCACTGGAGTAGTGAGTGAGTTGGGTTTAATGCCGCTTTGAACAGTATTCCAGTTATATCACGGCGTGTCAGGTTAATGTGGGAGGAAAGCCCGAAGTGATGCAGGTCTCAGATATTTACCACTTCGTTGAAACCCACGAGCACGGGTATGGTGCTGACAAACCTAGAAACATAATCGGGGTGAACCGGGATTCGAACCCACAATCATAGGTTTCTGGCGTGCCCAAGGGGCGCAACTCTGGGCCACCCATGCCCCCTTGCACTGGAGTAAGCAGCAACCCTGCAGGACAGGCCACAAAATACATTATCAATGTCACTGTACAAACAGAAACTTACCCCAAAGGCTGAAGGTGCATCTCCCATGCCATCTCCAGGCTTGCTGTTCATGAAGCCAAACAACTCTTCCACCTACAACAGACAAACACGTGTGCTAACATCACGTCTCCACTGCAATGAAAAATAATGATGGACTTTGATCTTTATCCCATGCAGATTAAAGGTAATGAGATCTTAACATGCTTAATGACTGACCAGCTGTGATGTAAGATAAGGAGATGTTAAATGACTGACCAGCTGTGATGTAAGATAATGAGATCTTAATGACTGACCAGCTGTGATGTAAGATAATGAGATCTTAATGACTGTCCAGCTGTGATGTAAGGTAATGAGATCTTAATGACTGACCAGCTGTGATGTAAGATAAGGAGATGTTAAATGACTGACCAGCTGAGATGTAAGGTAAGGAGATGTTAAATGACTGACCAGCTGTGATGTAAGGTAAGGAGATGTTAAATGACTGACCAGCTGTGACGTAAGATAAGGAGATGTTAAATGACTGACCAGCTGTGATGTAAGATAAGGAGATGTTAAATGACTGACCAGCTGTGATGTAAGATAAGGAGATGTTAAATGACTGACCAGCTGTGATGTAAGATAAGGAGATGTCAAATGACTGACCAGCTGTGATGTAAGATAAGGAGATGTTAAATGACTGACCAGCTGTGATGTAAGATAAGGAGGTGTTAAATGACTGACCAGCTGTGATTCGTTGACTGGCATGTCCTTGGCCTGCTCGGCCTGCTTGATCTGTTGTTTCTTGTACAGGGCCTCCTCCTTCTGCCTGGCTTCCTCCTCAACCACCTCACGGTCAATCTGGGCCAGCCGTTCCTGAAGGAAGGGCAAAACAGATGGTTAACAGCGACCCCATGCAGGACAAATGAAATATCTTTTCAACTACAATATCCTATTTTGCCTTGTTAACTCCGAAGTCCCTACCATGTGATGTCGCTCTGCCTCCTCCTTGGCCTTCTTTGTGTTCATCTTCTTCCTCAACTTGGCCTCCTCCTCCTGTCGAATCCGCTCAGCCTCCATCCGTTTCTGGTACTGTAACACACACAGCTCAGACTATACAGGAGCAGGGGGATTGGGGGGATAGGGGGAAGTGAGTACCCTCTTCTGGTACTGTAACACACACAGCTCAGACTATACAGGAGCAGGGGGATTGGGGGGATAGGGGGAAGTGAGTACCCTCTTCTGGTACTGTAACACACACAGCTCAGACTATACAGGAGCAGGGGGATTGGGGGGATAGGGGGAAGTGAGTACCCTCTTCTGGTACTGTAACACACACAGCTCAGACTATACAGGAGCAGGGGGATTGGGGGGATAGGGGGAAGTGAGTACCCTCTTCTGGTACTGTAACACACACAGCTCAGACTAAACAGGAGCAGGGGGATTGGGGGGATAGGGGGAAGTGAGTACCCTCTTCTGGTACTGTAACACACACAGCTCAGACTATACAGGAGCAGGGGGAGGGGGGGAGTGAATACACTCTTCTGGTACTGTAACACACACAGCTCAGACTATACAGGAGCAGGGGGATAGGGGAAGTGAGTACCCTCTTCTGGTACTGTAACACACACAGCTCAGACTATACAGGAGCAGGGGGATTGGGGGAAGTGAGTACCCTCTTCTGGTACCTGTAACACACATGGCTCAGACTATACAGGAGCAGGGGGATAAGGGGAAGTGAGTACCCTCTTCTGGTACTGTAACACACACAGCTCAGACTATACAGGAGCAGGGGGATTGGGGAAGTGAGTACCCTCTTCTGGTACTGTAACACACACAGCTCAGACTATACAGGAGCAGGGGGATTGGGGAAGTGAGTACCCTCTTCTGGTACTGTAACACACACAGCTCAGACTATACAGGAGCAGGGGGATAGGGGGAAGTGAGTACCCTCTTCTGGTACTGTAACACACACAGCTCAGACTATACAGGAGCAGGGGGATAGGGGGAAGTGAGTACCCTCTTCTGGTACTGTAACACACACAGCTCACACTGTACCGGAGCAGGGGGATTCGGGGAGGGGGGAGGGAGTTCCCTCTTCTTGTACTGTTACACAGAAATGATACGAACTGGCTTGCCAGGATGTGTAACAGCTGACTTGGTTTGTGACAGGAGAAACCACTTATCTAACTCAAAGCAGTTTAAATGTCCCAGGTGTGTAATCCTTCTTCATGAGGATTTAGAAAACTGAGCAGCAGGTAGGTGTTGTCTGGATGGTGAACTAACCTCGATCTGCATGCGTCTGAACCTCTTTCTGGCGATGAGAGTGCGGAGTGCGGCCTGTATCCTCACCACTGCCACCATGCGCCGCTGCAACCACTGCCGCACCAGGTGGCCCCGACAGAACCGCTGGCAACACATGCACACCAATTATCAACAAACTCAACCTAATCTTGTAGGAAATCAATGATTTTAGTACAAATCGAAATGTTGAACTCCCCTAATAGGATATAATGAGACAAATAGACAGAAGAATTTGCGTACAGTGTTTGCAAGTTTTGCATTCCACTTACCTGTAGGTTGACAATGATTCCTCTCAGAACATTGTATCTGGCTGTGAGGATCCGAGATCGACACATGGCTTGTAGTCGCATATAGCCTTGTCTCATCTGCAACAACAACATCAGCTGTCTTATCCTCTGAAATGACTCTGATCAATTTGAAAAAAAACCTTCCTGATGCAAGATAAGTGTCCTTTTTGTTGAAATAACGTCTCGATTGAACACAGGAGCTGTGAAGACTCACCAGCAAGAATCTTTTGCGCTGATAGTGTGTCCTCCAGGCCGACTGGATGGTCACTACATTCTTGCGCATCCTCAAGAAGCGGCGTCGACAGTGCCAGGTCCTGACCGTCTTCTGCAGGACGAGGATCTTCTTTGTGAGGGTCAGCTCTCTTTGCTGTTCCAGGAACACATCTTCTGCATCCTGGCAACACAGCAATACACTGTACACCACAGCAATACACCGTACACCACAGCAATACACTGAGTAAAAGTCACGATTAACTGTAAATCTGACACTTCCATTATCATACTTCACAGTCTACATAAATTCTGTAAAATTAGTAAAATCTGATTATTTTTTACATTTGTATACTTATCCTGCACTACTCCTTAATGCATTCACTGCTTACCTTACGTCTTGGGTGAAGAAATAAAGTTGTTTCACATTCCACTCCTGCTTATATACAGACCATCGCCGCTGTCATGTGACCTTGAGGACAAGTCACCTTCCTCACATCACAGCCTGTCCCCCGAGCTTAAAAATCATACTTTAAAGGTTTCTGAAGCCAAAGTGGGGAGGCAAGTCTGCGACGGGTGGACCTTAAGCGTAGTAATGCAGGATAAGTATACAAATGTAAAAAATATTCAGATTTTACTAAATTTTTTACTTATCCTGCATTACTCCTTAATGCATCTGTATCGGACAGTTTGGAGGCGGGAAACCTTCAGAAAGTCCAACACCTCAATAATTCACACCCCAAAACAATGACACATGTTTGTCAATAATCCGTGAGCCGGAAAAAGCTTAAAAAAACCCAGCCATTATGGTAGGGTTGTTCAATCTTCTTACAGAAGGAACGTAGGAATTAAAGGGTAGATCCCTATACATAATTAGTAATAAAGAAATACTAGCTAAACAGCTAATTCTTTACCTACTATGTTATCGAGCCAAAGCCTTGTTGAAAAGCTTGTCCAAATTTCTTCCACTGGCCAGGAGTCTCAGCGACTTGGGAGGGAAGTAGACTGGTTCATAATTTGCGTCGAGGGTTGGTTACCTGCTGGGCTACTACCAGAGGGCCAAAATTGAGCATGCCTTCGACATCAAGAGCCACATCGCGAAGATAATGACTAGCTAAAACTGTGTCGGACCTCCAGAAACATCCTTCCATGATCCTTTTAATAGAGCAGTTACTATGTAATGCCATGGTCAAGGCTAACGCCCTTATCTCTTGAGCATTATTCACTCTCGGGGATCAAGTTTTTAACTCATAAGCCTGAAGGATGACTGCACGTAACCATAGGGATGTTGTGTGGCCACTAACTTCGGTCGTTGATGTAGAAAGTACGAGTATAAATAACCGTTTCCTGGAGCCACGCCTAGTTTTGGAACGGCAGATGAAAACTCGAAGTGCTCGCACCAGGCACAAGAGAAGTTCACCCTCATCTTCGACTCCCACAATCTTTGATACCGGTGGGATGGTGAAGGAATGATTGTGTTGGCCTGGTAATTGATTTTTAGCTATAAAATCCCAGCACAACCCAAGATGTACCGCTCCATGCGTACCATGCTCAAAACGGACCCGGGTGATGTCGATTGCATGTAGCTCAATTACCAAGCGAGCCGTGGCTTATGCCAAGACAAAATTTGTTTTCTTGAGGTCATAAAATGAGGATGCATAATTGTGGCTCGACGGGGGGTCCTCGCAAACCTCGAACTACTATGTTCAAGTCCCAAGCAGAACGGAACTTAGCCTTCTGATCCTCAAGCCTAAATGAGCATAGGGCCTGTAGTTCTGGGACCTTGGTCATTTTGCGATTTTCTGGAACGGCCAACACTGAGTTAAGTGCTACCAAATACATAGAAATGGTGCTACCTTCCAAGTGCTTCTTGGTATGCAAATGTAGGAGGTATTTGGCTATGAACTGTGGTGATGCCGTCGTGAGGTCTTGGTTTTTTGCCTTGTAAAAAGTCTCAAACGATCCCCACTTGTCATAGAATAAAGCCCTTGGCACTTAAACCCTTTTTAAGACGAACCAAGTGTGCAGACGAAACCTGTCTTGCATTGGGTGAGGCAATTTGCTGTGAGGGTGGATAAGTAAGTTGGACCACTGTGGGGGGGTTGTGGATCGTCTTCTGCTAGACTTCTGAGCTCATGAACCACCCTCTCGCCATCCTCTGCCACGACCTTTCCCATGAAAGGAATCCTGGTCTTGGCCTTCCTTGAGAGACGTGAGTCTAGGCTTATAATTGCCTGACCTGCCAGCCCACTGGGACAGATTATGAGAGATGTGCTCTAGAGCCTTGAGCACGGTCTCATCCCCAGCATAATTGGAAACTTTGGCATGTGTGTCTGCGATCTGTTCACTGAACAGGGAAGTAGATGACCAAGGTTGATGTAGCAGCCTGCGCTTGAACTCAGAGTCCCGCTGGAAAGCGGTAAATACCCAAGTCTGCGTGTGACGGCAATCTCTGCCAGAGTAGCCTTAAGATGCTTTCTCATGTGGTCAATCTGACGCTGTTGGAAATCAACCATAGTTTGGAAATGATTTAATCGGTTTGGGTTATTCTCTGATAGATCCTGATCCACTGCATGCATTGACGACGCTAGTGCTGACAAAGGTTTCAGTACACGCATGATTTCCATTTCTATGAACGCAAATCTGGTATTTTGTACCTTAAGGGTGGTTGGCCTTGACGAGCCTGTCATCCTTTGTATGTCCTCATCCAAACTATGAGCTTGGTCTGCTTCCGCAAATGCATGGATAGGGAAATCATCCTTCCTAAGCATGGGTGGCTTAAATGACGGAGCAAGTGACAGCTTGGAGAAGTCCTCGTCCAATGACCTAATCATGTCTGTTAACATCGGATCCACCATAATCAATGTAGGATGTGACCATATGGTGTCCCTTTTATCCACTGACATGAGATGGTCTGCTACCCAATCGGGTACTTGTGCTAAGCTGAGATGCTTATTCCATTCCATTCCGAAGAGTCGAAGCGATGTTGACGCACTCGCCTAGACGGCAATCAGCTTCTGCTCCGTTGTGTAGCCCCACCTCTATCAGAAGGTATTGATGCCCTGCTTGATGATAAGGAGTCATGTGCCGATGTCCACGTACACACGATGTATGCGCTGAACCAGAACGCACATTAGGCGTTTGGCATACGTTAGGCACCGGAGCAGGCACTAATACTTGTGCCATAGTTGTAGCTGACACAGGCGTCTGGTACATAGGCGTAGGCGCAGGATACAGGTGTGCCATAGACTGCTGCCACATGGACTGCATAAAGTGTTACATCCAATTAGTGTTCTGGAACGGTGCTGACGCCTGAGCATACATCTGCTGCCCTGGATAAGTCGTTGGAACAGCGCTAGGCTGATCGTCGCCTGCGTAACAGGGTATGCTGTGCTGATGTATTTGTTGAGGCACTTGGGTGGTAGGCAGGCGCTGCGCTCGGCGCAGGCCTATAAGACGCAATGCTCATCGGTGATGACTGGATCATGGCTTGCACCTGCGCAACCCCCATCAAGGCGCCTTGAGACATATACGCCAGCGTCACAGGGATCGAAGAAGTGGATGTCCCAGACGCCTGAAAATGTGGAGCAGGTAGGATACTCACATACGCCTCCGCTACTGTTGATACCAGCGGAGGATGAACGTCTGCAGTCACAATGACAGAAGCCATATTACCCACAGAAGATAACGGCTGCGTAGAAATGACAGAAGAATGTCGCTAACCTCTAGCGATTGTGACATCTTCCTCGCCATTAGACAGGACTGCTTCCAAATATGTTTGTGAATGACCTGTCTATAACTTGCAGGAGAGATGGGTGCACAAAATTTACATTTAAGTTTGGAGAGCAAATCTGCGTGCATGCCAAACATTGTGGATGAGGATCCTTGGACGATTTCCATGACAATAAGTACAACATGTAAGCATACGTTAGACAAAATAGAGAATTGTTGATGATATAGAGTTGGAAGATTGCCATAGAATTAAACAATATTCTATCAGCAGATATTTTTTACAAGTTGAAAGTGCATAAATAATATTGATACACAAAAACTCTATGTAACGCCAAAGCTACTAGTATTTAAAAATATACATATACATACATAGCTGAGAATAGCAGGCAAACAATTGTAACACAAATTCAAAATGCCGGAAACAACGACCACGTGGCGGGGAAAAAGGCAAAGTCTTTTTACACCTAAAAAAACCCACATAAAACTACACAACTTAGTGAAAGTAATATGAAGAGAATACATCACCCATTTAGAATTATAGCCGAAGCTGAAGGTCTAAAATTATTCAATCTGAAGAGCTTCAGTGAGACACGTCCTTGCTGTAGCGTGACAGGCAGTGATTTTAGGAAGGTGACTTGTCATCAATGTCACATGGCAGGTGCGGAGGTCCATATAAAAGCAGGAGTGGAATATGAAACAACTTTATTTCTTCACCCAAGATAATCGCCGTGTGCTGCCTTTTTGCTGTCGTAAGGTAAGCAGTGAATGAATTAAGGAGTAATGCAGGATAAGTAAAAAATATATAAAGATGTCAAACTGAACAACAAATTCTTCATTAAAGTCCATGCTGACATGACAGCATTAGGGAACTTGATATGCCCTCCCCATGTGTTACTGAGTGTCACCAAGTGTTACCGGGAGAGCTGGTGTCTACCTTGAGGAAAACTTTAGTCTTGCCCAGCTGGTAGTCCTTGTCCTGCAACACCTGCTTGCAGATCTTCTGGGATGCTGTCATGCACTCTTCCTTGTGGGACGGTCCCACACCTGACACCAACAGGCGGTAACGATCCACAAACTCACTGAACACGTGCCGGATGGGGTAGCCAGCTCGCCGAATTCTGATTGTCTCCATCATGCCAGAGTATCGCAGCTGCTTGCAGCACAACTCTCGGTCAAACATCTGCAAACAGTCATTACAGTATGAGCGGAGGGAATGCTGAGGAGTAGTCACATAACACTGACACAAGGAACTGTCGGCATGTCAGACGTAAAGACACTTCAGAAGATGATGTTTATTTAACTCAATATTTAACTCACGATCACAACACTTGAGAGTTCTTGATAACTTACGCTGGGCTTCTTAAACTCATTAGGTTTGATGCATCTGACAAAGAATGGTTGACAGTGGCTCAGTGTCTTCATGAGGGCATCAAGAGACTTCTTGAACTGGGCAGCCAGTGTCGGGGCTCGCTTGCGTGTGTCTGTTCCCTGTGAACAAGAACATGTTGATGAAATATCACCTGCCATGGGAACAACACTTGTCACAAGCTCCTTAGAGAAGACCTTCAGTGAGTTTCAGTATTTCAGATAATAAAGTGGGTAAGGTATCCTTGGCTTCAACAAGAGGAACAACACTTGTCACAAGCTCCTTAGAGACGACCTTCAGTGAGTTTCAGTATTTCAGATAATAAAGTGGGTAAGGTATCCTTGGCTTCAACAAGAGGAACAATACACATATGTATTCAAAGCTTAAATATAGTAGAGTGAAATGACAAATAGAGGAATACCATCTATTAACCAATGTAACAAACAATAGTTCAGAAGTTGGTCGGCCAGTACCCTAAACCCACATTCCTCACCACCTTTTCCTCAAACTTGGAAATTTTTAAGTGAGTGAGTGAGTTTGATTTTACGCCACTTTTAGTAATACTCCAGGAATATCATGGCAGGGGACACCAGAAATGGGCTTCACACATTGTACCCATGTCGGGAATCAAATCTGGGTCTTCGGTGTGACGAGCGAACGCCTTAACCACAAGGCTACCTGACCACCCTTGGAAATTTTTAAAATACCACAATGTAAATTGTAAAGATACATCTGAAAGAATTCCATTGCATCTTCCCACCACCCTATGAGAGTGTGTCTTGCCCACCATAGACGTATCAGTGGAGAACAGCATGGACAGGTACTTGTTGCGTGATGTCTGGATCAGCTGCATCAGGTCGGCACTGAACGTGTCTCGGTTCTTCTCTAGGAACCCTGCAATGTTGGCAAGAATAACGGTGAGTCAAGTTAGAACAGAAGTAAATTAATAGAGAATTCTACCATGAATTTGAAAATTACTCGATCCTAATTGGTCAATCAGAGATAAAGAAATCATAATAAACCCCCTCTGATTTAAACAGCTGGGCCACATCACAACAGAAGCTTATAATTACATAAATATACTATTTAGAAGGCATATTTTGTATAAATATATGTACAATTATAGGGTGCTATAAACAAGAGTGCTCTGAGAGCACAACATCCCCCGCATGAATTTTTTTAACGAGTTTATATTTTCTTTGTATTTTATGAAATAACAACAGTAGATGGCACTGCATTTGAAACAAATTGTGCAGAACATTTTGTTGGGAGTAATCCAGTCTGATTGCTAATGCCATAAGGATGTAGCTCACCCACAAAAGCCTTAAACAAGGAAACTAACTATAGTTATAGTTATAGTTATAGTTAGATATTGTGATATACTCTGGAAACTGGAGGAGGAGTAGATTTCATGAAACACCGTAAAACAGGGGCAGTAACTCTGTCAAAATTAGTCAAAATGAAACGGGACTGGGATATGCGTATCATCAACATGTCGACATCTTGTGTGTAGAGTGTCAGAGATATTCTCTGGAAACTGTAGGAGGAGTTGATTTCACAAGCTTAGTACCCTCTGTGGGACGGACAGATGGACGGACAGACAGACAGACAGACAGATGGACGGACTGCGCCACGACATAATCCCCCTTTAGCCATTCTGGCCCGGCAGGGGATAAGGACCAAAGTTGCAGTTACTATAACATTCAAAGGAATACATTTAGTGCAGATATCTGCAAAGGGAATCCATTTCACGTTTGGGGTATGACAGAGAGCTTGACATTTTACGCTTTTCTACATGATGTAATATCTTTTGCATCCCACTGAGCGATATGACGGCATAATAGTGATGTGCAGTGTAGGACAAAACCTTGCAAGGCTTGCTTTTTGTTCTTTAGTGGTGCTAGCTTATGATGTTTTGGTGTTTTGTGCTTCAAATGCTTTCAATGCCTGTCATGGTCCGAGTAAAAAGTTACCATGTAAAAAAACTGCTTGAGCATATGCATATATATATATATATATATATATATATATATATATGTATATAATAAAATAAAGTCCACGTTAGTCCATCATCTTCTTTATATCAGTTTCATACATAGTACTTTCGCTGTCTCATGACAGCTCTTCAGTGTAACTGACAATGACATATAATAACGTCATACTTATGAAAGCCGACTTGAACTGCCGCAGCAAAGATGTAGTGTATGTTATGAGATGTTCGGGATGCAGCGAAAGCTACATCGGTGAAACCGGCATGGAATTAAAAGATAGTCACTGTACACAAACAGCAGATTAAAGACCCTAATGTTCGATGCTTAGGTGTCAGCAAACACATTGATGATTGCGGAAACGGGAAATTTACTATTTTTCCGTTTTATAAATTGTATACAAGTAACAAGCAGCTGAGACTGGAAAAAGAACAAATGTTTATCCAATTGATGAAACCAAAATTGAACTCTAGAATGTATTAATAGATTTGTCATTTCAATTGTAAATGTTGCACTATTACTTTACAAATACTGTATATTTAATTCACATGTCTCCCTACAATTGTTAAATTACTTGGTGTCATCGCTGGAGTGTGTAAATACATTATGACGTCACAGTTGTAATTTATGACGTCATCATAAGTATGACGTTATTATATGTCATTGTCAGTTACACTGAAGAGCTGTCATGAGACAGCGAAAGTACTATGAATGAAACTGATATTAAGAAGATGATGGACTAACGTGGACTTTATTATTTTATTATATATTACATGTACACCGAGTGAACATTTACCTCATTTTTGTATATATATATATATATATGCTCAAGCAGTTTTTTTAATGACACATCACTATATATAAACTGCTTGAGCATATATATATATATTATAGTGCACTACCACACGTGGAGTACAGTTAGTGGTAAATCTACCTGTGGATGTATAGAAGACAACGCCAGCAAAGTGGTTGAGACCAAAGGTTGTGTTGATCTGAGCCTTGGGTTTGAGGTAGTTCTTGTTGGTGGCATGGTTCTGGTGAAGCTTGGCCAACAAGGTCTGGTCAGTCCCCTGGAACACCACAGGAACCAATCAGGACACAGGACAAGCAGGTTCTACCTCGCTAGTTACTCTGCAGTTACTCTTACAGTGCAAGGATTCAGAGTAATTCTCTGCTACTACCTTTGCATCCACCAGCAACCATGGTGTAATGCACATGGAGTCCCATTGGACATGCCTTACCTAGCTACGTTCTTAAGGCTTAAGCATATTGGAGACAAGGACCCACAAAATCCTGCTCAAACAAGTCAATCACATTTCCTTCATGTTTTGAAACACAATGTAGCTATGGCTTCTAGGTCTGCACATAAATCATTTTCAGAACATCTACAGCAAAAACCTATTTCCTGTGGGTTTCTCCTTCTACCTAGCAATGTTTTGGCATAGTTGTTTCAACAATAATCTCATTTTAAGAAATTGCACAGTAAGAACAATTACACTGCACAAAGCAAGACAGGTTGGTTTCGAAACTTGTTCCCATTTTGAATGAATTCTCTTTTATCTTTTTGGTTGACATGGTAAATAGAAATTATACTTCAGAGATAACAAACTTCCAAATAATAACTGAAAATGTCAAATATTGAGAACTGTTTCAGTTGTTATGATAACAATAAAGTGTATGAGTGTTGTGTACCCTGGGGAACTTGCTTTCCTCGTCAACGAGGGCCATGATGTTCAGGGGCTTGATAGCGATGAGGTCCAGTGCGTCCTGGTTGTCCACAAACTCTATATGTTGCCAGTTGATGCCTTCCAGGTTGTATTCTTGCTGCGGGTACACATAGAACACATACATATAACATTCTGCATATATAACAGGGCTCGACTTAAGGAACTTGATTTAACTTGCACCAGGTGCATGATGACATGAAAAACTAGTTGCACCAGGTGCATGTTGACATGACAAACTAGTTGCACCAGATGCATGTTGACATGAAAAACTAGTTGCACCAGGTGCATGATGACATGAAAAACTAGTTGCACCAGGTGCATGTTGACATGAAAAACTAGTTGCACCAGGTGCATGATGACATGAAAAACTAGTTGCACCAGGTGCATGACGACATGAAAAACTAGGTGCACCAGGTGCATGATGACATGAAAAACTAGTTGCACCAGATGCATGTTGACATGAAAAACTAGTTGCACCAGATGCATGTTGACATGAAAAACTACTTGCACCAGATGCATGTTGACATGAAAAACTAGTTGCACGATGACATGAAAAACTAGTTGCACTAAATGCATGTTGACATGAAAAACTAGTTGCACCAGGTGCATGATGACATGAAAAACTAGTTGCACCAGGTGCATGTTGACATGAAAAACTAGTTGCACCAGGTGCATGATGACATGAAAAACTAGGTGCACCAGGTGCATGATGACATGAAAAACTAGTTGCACCAGATGCATGTTGACATGAAAAACTAGTTGCACCAGGTGCATGTTGACATGAAAACCTAGTTGCACCAGATGCATGTTGACATGAAAAACTAGTTGCACCAGGTGCATGTTGACATGAAAAACTAGTTGCACCAGGTGCATGATGACATGAAAAACTAGGTGCACCAGGTGCATGATGACATGAAAAACTAGTTGCACACGATGCATGTTGACATGAAAAACTAGTTGCACCAGATGCATGTTGACATGAAAAACTAGTTACACCAGATGCATTTTGACATGAAAAACTAGTTGCACGATGACATGAAAAACTAGTTGCACTAGATGCATGTTGACATGAAAAACTAGTTGCACCAGATGCATGTTGACATGAAAAACTACTTGCACCAGGTGCATGATGACATGAAAACTAGTTGCACCAGGTGCATGATGCTATTCAAATTATTCAAATAAATACAATCTCAGATCTCCGATGACTGTGTCATGACATTACATAAATTAATGAAGTATTGAGGTAAAACATAAAATGTGATGTAGTATGGTAAATAAAGCTTAGTGGTATTGAGTGTGTTCAAAGATTGTTGTTCTGTGGAAAAGTAAGGGTTGGACACAAATCTGAATTATTTTAGTGAATGAGTGAGTGAGTTGTGTTTAACGCTGCTTTTAACAGTATTCCAGTCATATCACGGCATGTCAGCTTAATGTGGGAGTAAAGCGCCAAGTGATGCAAGACTTAGACGTTTACCACTTCGGTGAAACCCACGAGCACGGGTATGGTACTGACAAATCTAGATACATAATCGGGGCGAATCAGGATTCGAATCCACAATCATAGGTTTCTGGCGTGCCCAAAGGACACAACTCTGCAGAGCGAATTGCAGCGCCCCCTGAATTATTTTACATGCACTTGGTGCACGTAGGCATAAGTATCAGATCACATTTTGCAATAACAGGTAGCACTGGTACATGTTTTATAAGCTAAATCAAGCCCTGTATAACATATGTTTGAATGTTTACAATGGACAGACAGACTATGGGCCAAATGACATGTGACACAAGCTCACCCAATCATTACGCTTGGAGCTAACATCTTGCCGAACACTACTTTAATTTGTAATCACTAACAAATCAAACTTTCAACTAACCTGCTCCAGTTTAAAGATGTGTCGCACAAAGAACTGTTGGAGGTTCTCATTGGCAAAGTTGATGCACAGTTGTTCAAAGCTACAACACACAATCACAGTTATTTAGAAATAAACATTACAAGCTGACTACTCTGAAGCAATTATTATCTAAAAGATCATACCAAAGTTCTATAGATACACTGTATTTATCTTTACTTGAGACATTCAAGTCACTGAATTTATTGCTACTTGTTTCAGCAATCAGTTATTTCATAAATCAAACATTAGTCTATGTACTTATAATTTGTAATACATGTCAAGCTTACCTGTTTGTGTCAAAATTCTCAAAGCCAAATATATCCAAAACACCGATGGACTTTCGATAATGGGAATTCTTTTCCATAGGCTTAAAAATGGCAGCATTAATCTTGTCCACTATCCACACAAACATACGTCCATATACACCCTTGACAAAGGCATCCCGGACATCGAGTGAAGACTGGATGCTCATTGTGGAAGTGACAGACTCTCCTTGTGTGAAGATAGTCTTGGTGGTGAGAGCATCTACCAAGTCCTGGGCACTCACCTGCAACATGGACACATGGACACATGCACACAGGGAACACAGGGAACACAGGGAACACACACAATATCAATTGTAATATGTGAACAATATAAACAGTAATATGTGAACAATATCAGCTGTAATATGTGAACAATATAAACAGTAATATGTGAACAATATCAGCTGTAATATGTGAACAATATAAACAGTAATATGTGAACAATATCAGCTGTAATATGTGAACAATATCAGCTGTAATATGTGAACAATATCAGTTGTAATATGTTCAGATCAGCTGTAATATGTGAACAATATCAGTTGTAATATGTTCAGATCAGCTGTAATATGTGAACAATATCAGTTGTAATATGTTCAGATCAGCTGTAATATGTGAACAATATCAGTTGTAATATGTTCAGATCAGCTGTAATATGTGAACAATATCAGTTGTAATATGTTCAGATCAGCTGTAATATGTGAACAATATCAGTTGTAATATGTTCAGAATATATCAACAATGTCAGCAGGATGCCTGAGTGGCTGAGTGACTCTTGTGTGTAAGTGGAAGTATTTATGTACAGCGCCTTACCTCCAACAGTCTAGCAGCTTTGTTGATGAAGGAAATGTCTTGGATTTCTGTGGCATCAATGTTGTCTAGCTCAATAGCTGCAAATGAAGGCAAGACAATGACTGTTCTTCTCAATGACATATTGATTAAATATATTTCCATGTATTTCTCTGAATAGCATGCATGAGTTGGTGTTAGGTGCCACTATAGACAGTGCTTCTGTCATATTCATGCTTATGTGTTTCCCTGTCTTTGGATGACTGCTATCAAGCAAACGCTGACAAAACACTTTGATACTGAGAGAGTATGTGTGTCTGGTCATAAATCATTGAATTCTTTTTATTTATCAGAGCATTATAAGTTTATATGTTGGAGGAAAAGTGAAGCCTTCACAAGTACGAGTAGAGATCAATTGGAATTGGGAATTTAAACAAGCAGTGATCCAGGCAGCTAAGGGAGACAACTCTGCATGGCACTGTCTAGTGCTTACTTTGGGCAGTCAGTGCTCAATGTGGTGTAATTATCACAGCAAACATTACAGATGAGAATTATCAGCATAATGGACAAATATGCAGACTTCCTGTTTACGATTACTTACCGTTATAGCGGACATTGCCTACATGAAGTAGGGACGCCAGAATCTTTAGAATGGACCACATCTCAGGCTCTGTGAACATCAGGACCTTCATGGCGGAACGGATGGATGCAAACTCCTTCACATCATCTCGACCCTCACAGAAGATGGATCCGCCCTGCAAACACAGTACATCCATAAGACTTCCACACACAGGCAACACTCAACATTGTCAGGGAATCATCTATACTGTGTAACCATGGTAACAACACATTTCTGTCCTCTAATGTCAAGACCGTAAACAATAGAAGTGATGAATGGTATGTATGAACATGAGTTTAATCTTACCAAAGTAATAAACTGAAGAGTACACTCACGTTTTACAGACATGACATGTACTCCAGCTGCTACTTATTTCAATGACAATCAAACAAGAGCCTATCAAAGTGACAAAGCACAATCAAACACTATACATTATCAGTTTCATTAAAGACCGAAATAGTTCAGAAGGTATTCAGAGTGTCTACTTTTTTTATCAAGTCTTGCAAGAAAATGGTCCCAGAACTGATTATGTAACATAGAAAAGTAGAGTTAAAGCATGACTTCAATTTCATTTTCACAATGGCTCCCTATCATCTAAATGCATGCACTCGAGTCATCTTGCTAGAGGTGTACTGTTTCATTGGTGAACACAAGCTTAATTAGATACAACAGTGTTGGAATCTGTGCTAGCTTTACCACTGACTTCATGGGGAGATACAACAGTGTTGGAATCTGTGCTAGCTCTACCACTGACTTCATGGGGAGATACAACAGTGTTGGAATCTGTGCTAGCTCTACCACTGACTTCATCGGGCGATACAACAGTGTTGGAATCTGTGCTAGCTCTACCACTGACTTCATGGGGAGATACAACAGTGTTGGAATCTGTGCTAGTTTTACCATTGACTTCATCGGGAGATACAACAGTGTTGGAATCTGTGCTAGTTTTACCACTGACTTTATCGGGAGATACAACAGTGTTGGAATCTGTGCTAGTTTTACCACTGACTTCATCGGGAGATACAACAGTGTTGGAATCTGTGCTAGTTTTACCACTGACTTCATCGGGAGATACAACAGTGTTGGAATCTGTGCTAGTTTTACCACTGACTTCATTGGGAGATACAACAGTGTTGGAATCTGTGCTAGCTCTACCACTGACTTCATCGGGAGATACAACAGTGTTGGAATCTGTGCTAGTTTTACCACTGACTTCATCGGGCGATACAACAGTGTTGGAATCTGTGCTAGTTTTACCACTGACTTCATCGGGAGATACAACAGTGTTGGAATCTGTGCTAGTTTTACCACTGACTTCATCGGGCGATACAACAGTGTTGGAATCTGTGCTAGTTTTACCACTGACTTCATTGGGAGATACAACAGTGTTGGAATCTGTGCTAGCTCTACCACTGACTTCATCGGGAGATACAACAGTGTTGGAATCTGTGCTAGTTTTACCACTGACTTCATCGGGAGATACAACAGTGTTGGAATCTCTGCTAGCTCTACCACTGACTTCATCGGGCGATACAACAGTGTTGGAATCTGTGCTAGTTTTACCACTGACTTCATCGGGAGATACAACAGTGTTGGAATCTGTGCTAGTTTTACCACTGACTTCATCGGGAGATACAACAGTGTTGGAATCTGTGCTAGTTTTACCACTGACTTCATCGGGAGATACAACAGTGTTGGAATCTGTGCTAGTTTTACCACTGACTTCATCGGGCGATACAACAGTGTTGGAATCTGTGCTAGTTTTACCACTGACTTCATCGGGAGATACAACAGTGTTGGAATCTGTGCTAGTTTTACCACTGACTTCATTGGGAGATACAACAGTGTTGGAATCTGTGCTAGCTCTACCACTGACTTCATCGGGAGATACAACAGTGTTGGAATCTGTGCTAGCTCTACCACTGACTTCATCGGGAGATACAACAGTGTTGGAATCTGTGCTAGTTTTACCACTGACTTCATCGGGAGATACAACAGTGTTGGAATCTGTGCTAGCTCTACCACTGACTTCATCGGGAGATACAACAGTGTTGGAATCTGTGCTAGTTTTACCACTGACTTCATCGGGAGATACAACAGTGTTGGAATCTGTGCTAGTTTTACCACTGACTTCATCGGGAGATTCAACAGTAAGGTTCAACATGCACTAAACCACTACATACATTCTGTGGGGCTATTAATAGTGGGTTGGTTTTTTTTAAAAGATTCTCCGAAAAAAGAAAATAACATCTGTATCAGCAGCAATACACAGCTAGATAATGTACACTTTTTCTGATATTTTCCTTTTGGCCCACATGGCCCAAGCCAGTGCTGCAAAACATCATATTATTCCTGAATGGTTAGTGTGGTGTTGACATTAGCAGGATCCGCCTCTGCAGCCACTGTAGGTGCAGCTGTAGGTCCGGATTAAACTAAAGTCTATTTCTAACACAGGATTGTTAGATTTAAACTAAAATGAGCAAAAGAAAAGTGAATATCTTAGTGAGCCTAGAAATGCTTCCTCATCAATGTGTTAAGATTCTTCTACATTATATCACCGCTTATGATGTGTCCACAATTACCCCTTCCAGTGTCCTACGAGTGTCAATGAGCAATACATTTCCTCATTATCCACATTAAAGCTCGACATGTATGTTGTCTTTCAATCACATAGACATGGCCATCTACACACAACAGAGTTGGAGGATACACCTAGCATCTAGCACCAGGGGTCCATCAATGAAGGATGCCGCTATGCCAGGTTCCCTGGCAGTCCCCGTGATGCAGAAAGTACTCCAACACTGATGTGGCACACAACCAAGTCACAAGACTGGGACTGGAGCTGCAGCTCTGTCAGGACACAGCTGTGGGTCAAATGCAACTGTTCACCACATCTCACTTGCCCCTCAAAATGAGGGTCTGGAGGCTGCAATGATCCACAGAGATTCTATGGCAACAGCACAATAGACTGATAAATGATCTCTGAGCCAGACTTACATCAACAGAGACTAAAGCCATCAGCAAACATGTAATGATGGTTAAGCACAACTTATTGTAGATTGCCTACAAGGCTTTGCATGATGCATGATACAATGTCCGTAACACCAGAACCTAAAAATGGATGGCAAAATTGTACCACTGTACAGGCAGATGACAACCAGCAAGGTATGTAAGCACAACACAGCTAAAAAACTACAGGGATACCAACATGTAAAAAAGAAACAAAGAAAATTATGGCAACTTTTTGTTAAGGCTGTCGAGAAAAGAAATATTGATGCTATTCTATTTGCTAGTAAGCATGTCAAGCACAATATGCTGGGGACCCTTGCCTCCACACCTATCAACAAATGAATGACTATGCCAAGCTTAGGATGATATCGTGGTCATGCTGTGTGGTGATGTTGGTGCCCTGCTTTCTATCCTCCCAACAAGCAGTCAGCACATATATACGACTGTCACACATGCATGTTCAGGCCAAGGATCGTCCCAATACTGTCTTATGGCTTATCTGATCTCATCATTTGCACTTTTCCATTGGCATTGCTGAGGAACTTGATTTAAAAATACACACATTTCATATGTTAGGCTTTCATAAAATTAATTATTGTAAAGTTTGCAATATGATCGAAAGAAGAAGGAAGAAAGTGAGAGTTAGGATAAGTTTAAATATTTAGATTTTCATCATCTCACTACCAAATCGTCCTTTCAAACATTCATGCTTCAAGTGAAACATATCTATTCACAGTGTACATTATACCTTAAACAATATGCTAAAACAAAATATTTGGATGAAAATCAAATAAATCATTGTGGCCTTATCAAAATGTGTAGATCTTCGACCATGTTGACATCACCAAGTGTATCAGTAAAGGGAAATAGTAACACAGGTCTGGAAAACCACATTCCTAACATGCTACTCCAACATGAAATGTGTTTTGAAGCTTTGAGTATGAGTTAAGTGTTTACCACATAATCCATCAGCATGACTTCACTTGGCCAGTGAACAAGGACAATGTCTGACAGGAGGCGGGGAGCAGATGGGGGAAGGGAGGAGGGAGAGCTGGGGGAAAAGGTGATGGAGATGTGGGGCAGAGGCTAGGGCTTGTTTGTTTGTTTGTTTGTTGTTTAATACCACACTCAGCAATATTCCAGCTATATGATGATGGTCTGTAAGTAATCGAGTCTTGACCAGACAATCCAGTGATTGACATCATGAGCGTCGATCAGCGTAATTGGGATACGATGACATGCATTAACCAAGTCAGTGAGCCTGACCACCAGATCCCGTTAGTTACGACAAGCATAGTCGCCTTTTACAGCAAGCATGGGTTGTTGAAGACCTATTCTATCCCTGAATTTCATGGATCCAGAGGTTAGGGGAAGGAGGAGGGAGAAGTGAGGAATAGGTGAGGAAGATGTAGGTAAGAGCGGCAGGAGAGTTGTGAGAGATGTGGGGGTGGGGGTGGGGTGAGGGTGGGAGAGAAAGAGAGGTGTGGGAGAAGTGAGCGATAGGTGAGGGAGATATGTAGGTGAGAACTGAGGGAGGGGTGTGGAAAATGTTGGCGAGATATGGTGGTGGGGGAGAGAGGTTTGGGAGAAGGGAGGGAGATGTAGGCTAGAGCTGAGGGAGAGGTGTAGGAGAGGTGAGAATGGGAGAGAGGGAGAAATAGGGGAAGGTGGAGAGGTGGCAGGTGGTTGGAGAGAGGTAGAGGGACATGTGGGGAGAGGTGTAGAGAGGTGGGTGTGGGGGTGTGGAAGAGGTAGAGGAAGATGTGAGGGAAAGGTGTAGAGAGGTGGGTGTGGGGGGTGTGGAAGAGGTAGAGGAAGATGTGAGGGAAAGGTGTAGAGAGGTGGGTGTGGGGGGTGTGGAAGAGGTAGAGGAAGATGTGAGGGAAAGGTGTAGAGAGGTGGGTGTGGGGGGTGTGGAAGAGGTAGAGGAAGATGTGAGGGAGAGGTGTAGAGAGGTGGGTGTGGGGGGTGTGGAAGAGGTAGAGGAAGATGTGAGGGAAAGGTGTAGAGAGGTGGGTGTGGGGGGTGTGGAAGAGGTAGAGGAAGATGTGAGGGAAAGGTGTAGAGAGGTGGGTGTGGGGGGTGTGGAAGAGGTAGAGGAAGATGTGAGGGAGAGGTGGAGAAGTAGAGGGAGAGGTGAAACATATAAAAACTCTGACATACAGACTGGCATACAGAAACAAACATACAGACACAAATATACAGACATACAGACACCACAACCAGACATACATACAGATATACAGACACAGACATAGAGACATGCAGATGATGCTATGTCCACAGAACAAGACCAACTTGCACAAACAGATCTTAGAGCTGACACAAGTGTAGCTGCCATACATTAACATACAGAACAATTACAGAGCTAAGACCACTTTGTGGAAGAGGGCCCATGACTTTCCTGGGCTTTTCAGGTTTGCGTTGAGGATGTCAGCTGGTACGTTTCTGTTCACTGTGCAAATCTAACTAAATATTGTTAATCCCTCAATTACTGATATGAGGTGCAGACAAATATCATAGACTGAAGTTATGGTATTATATGAGATTGACAACGTGAAGTAATTCCCATATTAGTAAATCACAGATCATGTATTGCTTATGGCAATGTTGTATTAGAGTAACACCATAACAATCTTGAAACTTTGAAAACATTTTAGAAAAAGTTACTTGCTCATAAAGCAGGCCAGTAAACATCCTTTATAAGAAGAGTTGCTTCAGAGGATTTTGTGTATAAGTGATGAAAATAGGATAGGGCTTGGGAGGGGCACATCCAAATGAGTGATACATCCAAATGCATGAATGCAAAGCTTCACAAAAATGTCATAAAGTGTCAAATATAAGACAACATGGAAGAGTGCAATTATTCCAACTATGGAGGTGCCTCAGTGTAAATGCCTAGTGATTCCAAGGAGGTGGTCACCACAACAGCCCTGACCACCTCCCATCGTGTTGACCTAGTGTTGACCTACACCCAACCACAAGCAGCTGACACCACCAGAAGGTGGAACCCCATGCCGTAACACCACAGCATGTACAGGGTGGGAGGGAAACAATAACCAACAATTTAAAAGCTTAAGATGCATGCCAAAAACAAGGGTGAGGAAAAAGTGAAAATCCTTCAACTACAATAAAATACCTTTACACGACCTTGGTCATCCCTCTGCAATGCAAGTCATGTATATGTATGTTACATCACATCACATCCACATATCTAGCAGGGTCATACACTCCCATAGTGTGGTCAGTACTGAGCAGTGGTGCACCAAGGCTCGCTGTACGAACAACCCACTCCTCCTCCTACACCAAACAAGTGCACAAGAACATTTGGGAAGCTCCTCACGAATATTGTTTTTAATATTTTTGAAGATTTTTTAGAGTTACTGTCCTGACAGAATTAGCCTTATTTACATTGGTAGAATCAATTACTAAACAAATGTCTACAAACATTGGAATCTGTTACTAATTACTCATTACAAACCAACAGAAAATGAAGGACATATGTAGATGCAGGCACCCACTGAGCTGCAAGACATTCTCTGGGCTCACTAGTGAGAAGATTGTATTCAGCCTTGGTGCATCTTTAAATAAACAGTGCCAATACTTGACAAAGAACTGTTTGCTGAAGTGTACAGTATAGGACAGTATGAAGGAGTAGACGCACCTGTACAAGGTAGTAGTAGCTGGTCGCATCACCAAGCTCCAGCTTGGCCTTGTCCTCGTTGCTCATGCCGGCCAGCATGCAGTAGAAGATGTGATAGTTGCGCTCATCATGAGCTTGGTTGACAATGCGAGACTTTTCAAGCAAGTACTGCTCTATCCGAGCTCCCTCAATCACGCCTTTCTCATTGAAGTGAATGTCTATATATTTTCCAAATCTACTGGAATTGTCATTTCGTATGGTTTTGGCATTACCAAATGCTACAAAAGAAATAAGAGAGCATTACTATAATTACAGTCTTAGGCAAACAATTTACTTCGTCCCCTGCTAGCATTAAAATTACTAAGTGCAATAAACAATCAACTTTTGTAAAGCACAGTTTTGTGACTGAACATCATTCCCCATTTCCTCAAACTTAACTGACTCTTGCTGCCCATGACTAAAGTAGCAGACAGTTACCCTCCATAATGGGGTTGGCCTCTAGAATCTGTTGTTCTATCCAGGAGTGTTGTCCACTGACAGCTGCCAGGAACTGTAGGATAAGCTTGGTACTCTCTGTCTTCCCAGCACCAGACTCTCCACTGCAACACAACATTTGAAGTTAGGAACAGGGGAAACACCTGCAGCAGTACTACAGGAGACATGGACACCTGCAGCAGTCCTACAGGAGACATTGACACCTGCAGCAGTACTACAGGAGACATGGACACCTGCAGCAGTACTACAGGAGACATGGACACCTGTAGCAGTACTAAAGGAGACATGGACACCTGCAGCAGTACTATAGGAGATATGGACACCTGCAGCAGTCCTACAGGAAACATTGACACCTGCAGCAGTACTACAGGAGACATGGACACCTGCAGCAGTACTACAGGAGGCATGGACACCTGCAGCAGTACTACAGGAGACATTGACACCTGCAGCAGTACTACAGGAGACATGGACACCTGCAGCAGTACTACAGAAGGAATAGTTGTCCCGAAAAAAGCACAAGCAGCACCACAGCTCTTACGTGCGCAAGGAGGAAAAACCTTCACTTCTTTCCTGAAAAAAACATCATCCTACGTAAGAATCTTAAGGGATAGAATGTGGCCTTACACTCCAGCAATATTACGTCAGCACCACCCAGTCAAACTGGTGGTTGATGTGAGGAACAACCCGTGGTAAGGAGGGAAGAGAGTTACCTGATGATGACACACTGGTCATGTTGATAGCGTCTCATGCTGTGGTACGAGTTGTCAGCAATGGCAAAGATGTGAGGTGACAGCTCCCCAATCTTCCGGTCTCGGTACAGCTGAATCTGTTCACTGGTGTAGATAGGTAGGATCTGGTATGGATTCACCGCCACAAGGATTGACCCTGTGTATGTCTGGAACAATCAGAACCATTGTGAGAATCCCAACACACTGGGGATGGGACAGTCCACTGCAGCAAACTTAATAAGCACAGTTACATGGTTTACTTTCCTCTGTTAATAACACATCTACCAAATCAGTTATATTCATGTTGAACTATAAGAGAGAATATCCACTGACAGTGGTCAATATTGCAGAGTGGTCTACTTACATATATGCAGTTGTCCATATACCGAATAAACAAGTTCCTGAGTATGCCGGCCTCATTGAGATCCCCCAGGCCTATCATGTCTTCTATGCCCTCTATGGAGGTTGCATGCATGTGACGTATATTTCTCTTGCCATCAATCCAGTGTTCCCGGCCATCATCATCGATGACTTTGATCTTGCCAGACTCAGAGAACTGCACCTTTGCCCCGATGGCCACAGTGAACTCCCCACGAGTCTCTGGCTCCAGCCAAACATGATCACCCTGGCAAACAAGCACAACAGTCATATTAATGCACTTCAATAACAGTACTAAAGAAATCTACAGAGGTCAGAGATCCTTTATATGATACACACGTACCATGTTACTTGTTACACCTATGTCTTCAGACTGTCACAATGAGGCAAGTAGACTACTGCATCCTGCCACTGCTTCTGTTTGATGTGTTCTCTGGGAAATTTGTCACTAGCAATAAGTCACAAGTCTATATCAGCAACTAATGTGTTGTTTCCAGCTGGGACATCTAGTCCTTTCGTCATGATAGTAGCCGAAGTATCCAAAGAGTACTGACATCTTGGAAGTTGTCATAGATATCCTGCTATTTCATTCTGGACAAATATGCCGGGTAATAATGTGGCAAGCCTGTTTGTACTCGAGGAGACTAGTGCTGTATATAACACTACTCATGTACTGAGACAGGTGTGGGTGGGAGCTCTAGCCTGGGTCATATTCTGTCAATACTGATTTACTACTCATGCCTAGATCTTCCTTTCTGGAACACTGCCATGTGTGAATATCACAGAGTGTTAACATTGTCACTACAACATGCCCTGAAACTATGTCACACAGTGTCGGTACTGTCACTACAACATGCCCTGGAACAATGTCACACAGTGTCGGTATCGCACTACAACATGCCCCAGAACAATGTCACAGAGTGTCTGTAATGTCACTACAACATGCCCCAGAACAATGTCACAGAGTGTCGGTACTGTCACTACAACATGCCCCAGAACAATGTCACACAGTGTCGGTAATGTCACTACAACATGCCCCAAAAGAATGTCACACAGTGTCGGTAATGTCACTACAACATGCCCCGGAACAATGTCACGCAGTGTCTGTACTGTCACTACAACATGCCCTGAAACAATGTCACACAGTGTCGGTAATGTCACTACAACATGCCCCGGAACAATGTCACAGAGTGTCTGTAATGTCACTACAACATGCCCCAAAAGAATGTCACACAGTGTCTGTAATGTCACTACAACATGCCCCGGAACAATGTCACAGAGTGTCGGTACTGTCACTACAACATGCCCTGAAACAATGTCACAGAGTGTCTGTAATGTCACTACAACATGCCCCGGAACAATGTCACACAGTGTCGGTACTGTCACTACAACATGCCCCGGAACAATGTCACACAGTGTCAGTACTGTCACTACAACATGCCCCGGAACAATGTCACTGAGTGTCGGTACTGTCACTACAACATGCCCCGGAACAATGTCACACAGTGTCGGTAATGTCACTACAACATGCCCCGGAACAATGTCACAGAGTGTCTGTAATGTCACTACAACATGCCCCGGAACAATGTCACAGAGTGTCTGTAATGTCACTACAACATGCCCTGAAACAATGTCACGCAGTGTCTGTAATGTCACTACAACTTGGCCTGAAACAATGTCACACAGTGTCGGTACTGTCACTACAACATGCCCTGGAACAATGTCACGCAGTGTCGGTACTGTCACTACAACATGCCCCGGAACAATGTCACGCAGTGTAGGTACTGTCACTACAACATGCCCTGAAACTATGTCACACAGTATCGGTAATGTCACTACAACATGCCCTGAAACAATGCCACGCAGTGTCGGTACTGTCACTACAACATGCCCTGGAACAATGTCACACAGTGTCTGTAATGTCACTACAACATGCCCTGAAACAATGTCACGCAGTGTAGGTACTGTCACTACAACATGCCCTGAAACAATGTCACAGAGTGTCTGTAATGTCACTACAACATGCCCTGAAACAATGTCACGCAGTGTCGGTAATGTCACTACAACATGCCCCGGAACAATGTCACACAGTGTCTGTAATGTCACTACAACATGCCCCAGGACAATGTCACACAGTTTTGGTACTGTCACTACAACATGCCCCAGAACAATGTCACACAGTGTCGGTACTGTCACTAAAACATGCCCCGGAACAATGTCACACAGTGTCGGTACTGTCACTACAACATGCCCCGGAACAATGTCACACAGTGTCGGTAATGTCACTACAACGTGCCCTGAAACAATGTCACGCAGTGTCGGTACTGTCACTACAACATGCCCCGGAACAATGTCACACAGTGTCGGTACTGTCACTACAACATGCCCCGGAACAATGTCACACAGTGTCGGTACTGTCACTACAACATGCCCCAGAACAATGTCACAGAGTGTCTGTAATGTCATTACAACATGTCACACCAGCCCTGGGTTCGATACCCTGACATTGGTACAATGTGTGAAGCCCATTTCTTGTGTCCCCCTCCGTGATATTGCTGGAATATTGCTAAAAGCGGCGTAAAATCAAACTCCGTCACTCACTCCTTGATCTATATAGGCCGCAGAAAGGTCTAGTGGTCACTGGTCAAACAAGGGCTCGACATGTTGCTAAGGAGCCTCAAAGCTGAAGACATCACTTTCAGGCATTTGCAAAGGAAGACCTTATACACTGAACACAACAGGAAAACAAGATACATTGTATTGTCATGTTAATGGGATGGGGAATAGTTGGTTTCTTTCCCTGAGCCAGCAAGGAATGACCACTCTGTAACCTGGAAGCAATGCATATCCCTTTCAAAACTTTTCAAAACCATTGCAATATTTCATAGTCACTAAACTATCTTACTGCATTTATGAACCAATAACCAATTAATGAAGCATTTGCCAATTTGAATATACTGCGCTGCTGAAGTACCTTTCTCCATCTGTAATAGCTGCCATCAATGACAAATATACCACTGATCACTCATTACACTCTCAGTGATCAAAATAGCTGATATCATACAGCTAATAGTATCTGATTTCAACATTGTGTTAACATTGATTATCCTGCAACGAAGGATATGTTTCCCTTACAAATAGATTGTGTTTCAGTGCTGCTGGTGTTAGCATTGGGTGTATGGATTAGCCCTGCTTTGTGTGGTGTACAGGTATGTGTCTCTGCGAGGCTCGGGGCTGAGTGTTTACTGTTCAGCTCCCACTGTTGACATGCTATCAGTTCCTCTAAACACAGCCTCAGTAATCACAGTCACCGCTACTTACACAAACACTCACTGCCTCTCATTGCTGCCTGTCTCTACACAATCATAGCACAGCCACAGCACACATCTGAGTCCGATACTCACCATACATCATAACACCATCACATCTGTGTCTGATACTCACCGTACATCATAACACCATCACATCTGTGTCTGATACTCACCGTACATCATAACACCATCACATCTTTGTGTGATACTCACCATACATCATAACACCATCACATCTGTGTCTGATACTCACCATACATCATAACACCATCACATCTGTGTCTGATACTCACCATACATCATAACACCATCACATCTTTGTGTGATACTCACCGTACATCATAACACCATCACATCTGTGTCTGATACTCACCATACATCATAACACCATCACATCTGTGTCTGATACTCACCATACATCATAACACCATCACATCTGTGTCTGATACTCACCATACATCATAACACCATCACATCTGTGTCTGATACTCACCATACATCATAACACCATCACATCTTTGTGTGATACTCACCGTACATCATAACACCATCACATCTGTGTCTGATACTTGTCATACATCATAACACCATCACATCTGTGTCTGATACTCACCGTACATCATAACACCATCACATCTGTGTCTCATACTTGTCATACATCATAACATCTGTGTCTGATACTCACCATACATCATAACACCATCACATCTGTGTCTCATACTTGTCATACATCATAACACCATCACATCTGAGTCTGATACTCACCATACATCATAACAACATCACATCTGTGTCTGATACTCACCATACATCATAACACCATCACATCCTTGTCTCATACTTGTCATACATCATAACACCATCACATCCTTGTCTCATACTTGTCATACATCATAACACCATCACATCTGTGTCTGATACTCACCGTACATCATAACACCATCATAACACCATCACATCTTTGTCTCATACTTGTCACACATCATAACACCATCACATCTGTGTCTGATACTCACCATACATCATAACACCATCACATCTGTGTCTGATACTTGTCATACATTTAGGATATATAACCTACTGTGTTCTGAAATTTGATGTAGTCCCACTGTAAATTAGATACCTCTTGTTTCAATTTGGAACCAAGCGCTATAGCACAAGGTTTCAAATATAAAAATAAGAGGTATCTACTCTGCTGTGGGAATACATGGAATTTCAAACACAGTAGGTCTATCTCCATTCTACCGTGATGGCAAGAGGGCTTTCAAAACGGTGCTCACTTGCAACGTGTAACTACACATGGTACAAAAGTCGCTATGCCATCTCGCATTGTAGGGGCGACAGATTGTAGAAATAGTTTCAGAAAAAGCTGAATAAATTTATTTCTACAACAAACGTTATTAATTAACATGCTTCTATTTATTTTAAATATGTAAGTCTTAGTAGTCAGTTAGCAATTACTCTCATTAAAAATACAAATTCAAAATAAATGCCTCTCCACCCGGAACTGGGATGTGGCAGAACTTGACCTACATCATGGTTACACACAGCTGTCAATGGCTGCCAATGTTTGTGTTAACAATATCCATGCCTCTGACAAGTTACATGAAGCAAGATGACAACCCAGATCTATGTTTTGGTTCAACATTAACCCATGGATTTACTGAGAAAGAATCTGATGATACAACATGATTGCCAATGGAACAGGAGCATGACATGAACAGTCCTTTTTTAGGCTGCAAACGAGTCAGCTATTATAGCTATCAATTTCAAGATTCCACAGTATTTGACACCATGTGTGAAAGAAATGCGACAGTCACAGTTGTGGCCCAGAAACAGTGGTCAGTGTATGATTTGCTTAATTGTGCATGTTCTGAAATGAATTTCATCAAGTTTGGTAAGGCGTTATGATAAAGTGCCTGTGCTTTGTCTTCAGTGATGTCGGGACATTGTTTTCATGGCCTTTCTCAGGGAGGAGTGTTTTCTGATGGACTATTAAATTCCTTCCTGCCAAACACTAACAGCTGTGGTTAATGGAGATGGCAATGAATATCGATCACAAAAAGGCTTCTAAACAACATGTTGTCATTAATACATTTTTTTTAAATACCTTTTTCATAATCAGATGAAGTTATATTTTACTTTCAGTGTCAGTTGTTTCAATGAGGAAATTGCCTGTTCGGTATCGAACATATCCCCAACAGTTTCCTAAACGTTATCATTTGTATGCAAAAGATATGCTTTCGTTAAGTCTTGTATTCTCGTCATCAAAGCAGTCAAGGTTGTGGCCAAGAACATCATATAGCCCAAAACATTTGATATCAAACTACCATAATTCCTCTATTAGATGCTAGGACGTCTATTAATTTCGCGAGAGCCGTTGACCAGGCATGTATTAGAGACCTGGCATGAATTAGAGACCCAGTGTGTAATAGATGAAACATCGATACGTTATACAGTTCCAGTGGGTGATCGATCGGCAGTCATTTTTTATGAATCGATATGTAGGCTACAAGCTCCTTCCCAGAAGGTGACACCTTCGTTACACTCTCGGTAACATCGCTGCCGTCAGTACGTCAGTACTTACCTTTTTGTTTGTTTGATCAGATTTGTTTGAGATAGCAGGCTAATGGAAAATCTTCCTACTTACATTCTTACTATACCAATTTAACATGATAGTAATAATTCAACTCCAAGCATGGTTGTGGCCACCCATCACAGTTGGGAGCTTTGAGGTGAGGTGAAATTGGGTTTAACGTCGCGTCCAAGATTATTGCACTTATATAGCGATGTGCATGCACGTGTGTGTCTGTGGCTGCTTGTACTAGTCCGGACTGATGCCGATTTATAGTGCTAGCTCACTGAGATACCACGCCGCAGTTTAACATGAATACATGAATGACTCCGAGCCGACCAGTCCTTGTTTTAGCCCCTTAATGTCGAGCGCCAGACAGGGTAACAACAAGTACCATCTTTTAACGTCTTTTGGTATGACGCGGCCGGGGATCGAACCCCGGACCTTCCTCTCTCCGGGTGGACGCTCTACCACAAGACCACGGAGGCGGCTGGGGAGCTTTGACTGGTGGCAGCGATAGTATAGACAGCTCCACGATGGGCAATGGCTGTGAGGAGCTTGTGTGGGCTATTGATGTATTGATACACACATATGTAAGGCTTAATGTATTAAAAAGAAGTTTCCTAGCAAAAACAAAACTTCTTTTTAACCAATAAGAATCAAGTATTCTTCAATGTCACAGTAGAATATAACACCATCACATCTGTCTCATATTCATGATACATTATATCACTCATCCCAAGTTACCATGGTTACATAACCACAGCAACTGCTGAAAAACAGGATTGCTCCTCACCTTTCCTAAGATCACCATGGTCGCACCACTGTCCTGCCTATGTCAAGTTACCTCATCAAGTTGCACAGTCTGAAACATAACATCGTCACATTAGAATCATACAAAGCAAGAACACATAAAATCCCCCAGTCCATGTACCCTACACATACTGAGCCAGTAATCTCTGGTCAACAGACACGCGCACGCATCACGATTACACAAAGGGAAACAACTCTACCACAACAAGTGATTCAAACCAATATGCATATCCATCATCCTGGTATCATGAGTAGCTAGCAATCAAAAACACAGAACATTTGAGACTGATAAATCTCTACATGAAATGGACTTCCATATGATAGACTTAAAACACATTGACATTTGTTACAGGTCATGTCAAAGACAAACCTGATAAAGGGTGAGGTAGCTGATAGCAGACAGAGTTAACTGTCAACAAGTGTACAGTACATTACACACCGTGTGATTAGGGCAAAGTATGATAAGTGACAGCCTACATGAATGCATAACTTAAGAAAAATGCAAAACTTAAAAAAATTGTTTTGAAAGGTAGCAGATATGTTCATATGAATGCGAGCCCAACTGAAATTGTAATTTGAACACATGCATATATGATTTATAACTACATTAAATGTATATGTGAGGCTTAAATGTGCCAAACAGGTTTATATTAGAGGTTTTTATGCCGCAATTGTTGAGTATTTGAACATAAGCAAGTCTTTGACTTGAGCTGATTCTCACAGGAGATATAGATAAAGACAGTAGAAACATGTTGTTAAAACACTCCTCCTGGGTCACAAACTTTCCCAGATGGAGTTTCACTGGAAGCTGATTAACAGCCTTGTTCACTCATCTTAGCCACTCTTGTACAGTTGCATCTTCCCGAGGCAAGGGAGTTAACTGACCATAAAAGTCAAGTTTCCACCCTTGCCGAACAAGGGGGGAATTTCTGGGCTCGATCGTAGCACCCCCACTGGCTATTACGAGTTATGTCCCTTCTATGCCTCTCATATTGAGCCATCAGATTCCACCTCTCATATCACTTGCATCTGCTTCAAACAAAATTGCTGCCCACAGTCAAAATTATCAGATTGATAATCAAGATCTATATTGTAATATAATGGGTCTTACATCACGAGGTGCATCAAATTACATGTGCACCTTGAATAAAAACATGTACATTTTTGGAAAATATATGTTAACGCTGCCTTGTTGGTGCACATGCTTTGCAAATCCTGTAATCAACCAAAATCTGAATGGTAGTTTACCAACGCAATTTTTCGATTGGACTATGCACAGCCTTGTTAGTCCAGCTAAAATATAACTCCATATTACTAGCCTAGTTTGGACTTTTAAAGTAAGTTAACTTCCTTGCCTCAGGAAGATGGTAAAGTGGAACATATATACCATGATTACAATTTTTCCATTACCTAAACATTTGACATATCCGGCGAGCAAAAAAGGGACCTATCCCACCTCGTCTTCTGATGCTGGTACTTTGTGGGCCTAATCAAACCCTTTAAAACAGACTGCAGTAGTAAACTGTTGGTCAGCACAGTACTACTAAAAACAGTTGGGATCATTGGTAAGTTTACATCAACCACAGGCTAAAGGGGCTGAGCACACACCCAGACAGTAATAAGTGTCTGTGCACAAACCAGGTTTTCATATGTACATAAAATGACACTAATGATCACTGATTGATTCTGGGTTCCTCTAGGCATCAGAGACTTCAAGTGTTCACACAGCATGCTGTCACACAACCAATAGCACTGAGGCTCATCAAGAGGATCTACATGGGATGATTGCCACATACAAATACAGTCCTTCAGCTCCACATGACAATCTCTAACAGGATTTAGGACAGTAGTCATGGATCACACAGGGAGTCTAGGCATGTAGGAAGAGCATACATACAGATCTACAGCTCTTCATGACAATCTCTGACAGGATGTAGGACAGTAGTCTTAGATCACACAGGGAGTCTAGGCATGTAGGAAGAGCATACATACAGATCTACGTGACAATCTCTGACAGGATGTAGGACAGTAGTCTTAGATCACACAGGGAGTCTAGGCATGTAGGAAGAGCATACATACAGATCTACGTGACAATCTCTGACAGGATGTAGGACAGTAGTCTTAGATCACACAGGGAGTCTGGGCATGTAGGAAGAGCAGACATACAGATCTACGTGACAATCTCTGACAGGATGTAGGACAGTAGTCTTAGATCACACAGGGAGTCTGGGCATGTAGGAAGAGCAGACATACAGATCTACGTGACAATCTCTGACAGGATGTAGGACAGTAGTCTTAGATCACACAGGGAGTCTAGGCATGTAGGAAGAACAGACATAAAGCTCTACGTGACAATCTCTGACAGGATGTAGGACAGTAGTCTTAGATCACACAGGGAGTCTAGGCATGTAGGAAGAGCAGACATAAAGCTCTACGTGACAATCTCTGACAGGATGTAGGACAGTAGTCTTAGATCACACAGGGAGTCTAGGCATGTAGGAAGAGCAGACATACAGCTCTACAGCTCTTCATGACAATCTCTGACAGGATATAGGACAGTAGTCATGGATCACACAGGGAGTCTAGGCATGTAGGAAGAACAGACATAAAGCTCTACGTGACAATCTCTGACAGGATGTAGGACAGTAGTCATGGATCACACAGGGAGTCTAGGCATGTAGGAAGAGCAGACATAAAGCTCTACGTGACAATCTCTGACAGGATGTAGGACAGTAGTCTTAGATCACACAGGGAGTCTAGGCATGTAGGAAGAGCAGACATACAGCTCTACAGCTCTTCATGACAATCTCTGACAGGATATAGGACAGTAGTCATGGATCACACAGGGAGTCTAGGCATGTAGGAAGAACAGACATAAAGCTCTACGTGACAATCTCTGACAGGATGTAGGACAGTAGTCATGGATCACACAGGGAGTCTAGGCATGTAGGAAGAGCAGACATACAGATCTACGTGACAATCTCTGACAGGATGTAGGACAGTAGTCATGGATCACACAGGGAGTCTAGGCATGTAGGAAGAGCAGACATACAACTCTACAGCTCTACATGACAATCTCTGACAGGATGTAGGACAGTAGTCATGGATCACACAGGGAGTCTAGGCATGTGGGAAGAGCAGACATGCATTGGTTGCTACAAAAAGGTGTCAGCACCTGTAAATATTGATAGACAATTAATGCAGACAATCTGTTGCTGTGACAATGGTTATGAATAGTCTATATGGTTACTCATGGTTCAAGACAAGATTCCATGTCACAAGGCCAGTAGAGTGACACAAGGCCTCTACTGGACAACACAGCACTGCAGCAACAGCTAGGCCTACACAGGGTGCCACATTCAGACTGGAGCCAGTTCTTTGTACACAGGTGTAAATATACATGGAGTTACCAACAATAGGTGTTAGGGGTCCTCCGCAATACCAACATAACACAGTCCATTACACCAGTCTACTCACATAAGCATATTCCCACTGCCAGGGGACTCATCACTCAATGGGTCCATTCTTCACAATAGTTTATTGTCACTTCCAAAAGTGAGAAACATATTTTCTAGTGAGGTCAAATAGGGCTGAGATGCTCTGTCAACAAAATTTCCAAATTGCTATCACACTATGTTAATGCCCCAGTTTCACTGCTGCCTTGGAACAGACCAGGAAGAAGTGTGTACCTACAGGTTCTACCAGACCGATTGCCTGACAATGTGACATGGCTACCGCCCTCCCTGTAATTGGTGGTGGTATGTGTGAGTTAGTCAGGTTGTTCCCCACCCAGAGAGGATACGAAGAAGCCAGTAATTGGTGTACACTGGGATGTGTGTAGCAGCTCAGGGAGGGAGGGAAAGAGAGATGTGAAGCGACTAACAGTGGGAAGAGTTAGAGGTAGTCAGAGTGAAAACGTGTGTTACAGTTTGAGTGTCTGTATGATCACAGAGAGAGGGGACAGAGAACCAGGGGCTTGGTGTGAGGCAGGTCAGCGTGTGCTCTGACTGGGACTAGAGAGTATGGCCAGTCAGGACCACTGGGATCAGAGATCTAAGGAATGTACATGTCTAAAACATGAAAGAAGTCAGCGAACCTCTCAGTTCCACTGCATCATCAGGGTGTTCAGTGGAGCATACTTGTCATAAAGGAGGCCCCGCTGATAAGTAGATAACGACAGTGTGTGTGTTGGGAAAGTTTCCACAACTGACACAACTCCAGGGCTGGGCTGCTGTATCATACATCACACATTCACTAACATCAATCACATAATTACTCAGTACACTAACTGGATGGGTCATGGCATGACATTTCAAGTCAGTTCTTTTTCACAAGACAAATACACTATACCAAGTTCTTTGAAAACATCAACAACTTGGTACTACAAGAAAATACAATGGTATAAGGATCTATATCGAAATGTCATCAATAAAGTAAAATGAAGCTGTTATCTATAAATTGTGTCTACTTTCAATGTAATAGTTATTAACGGAAACAGAGAGGGTGAAGACAAGTTGAAGGCCGAGGCTGCACATCAGCTGAGGTGTACACTGCACGTGTTTGAGTGTTCATCTGACTTTAACCTCAAGGTCATGGTTCAGGTAACTACATTACACACTGACAGAGAACTAAACTTCACGTTTCAATTGTCGGAACACCTATGCATGTGGAAATGAATACCTGGGCACATGCAACTTCTGTTGTAAGAGAGTTGATTCACATCCATGAAAACCGTGACAAACAATACAGCTAGTTTGTAAATATACTCAAACAAAACAAGTAGATTTCAAGGAATATATAAATGTTATGATCGATTATCAGAAGAAAGATCAGCTTTGAAAAAGGACTTCCAGAACCAAAAACCCCACGCTCCAACACACCCGAAACATTGCATGTTGACCATACAATTCCTCCCTCGGTAGGGGCCATTCTAGATTTTGACACTTCAGTGAAAGGTCATCAAATCGCTCTGAGCTATTAGTATTGTTGATTTTCATTATCCACAGTAACATGTAAGCTCTGTACTCTTTAATGCAGTATTTGTGATCAGAT